TTTTTTTTTTTTTTTTTTTTTTTTTTTTAAATGAGTGGGTCCCTGAGGTCAGAATGACAGAGGACAAGATTAGTTTGCTTGCATTGTAAGCTGTGTGTAAGATGAAAACACCGTAGTATAAAATATTGTGGCTGCTTCTGTTAAAATGTGCAATGTTCTGCTGGGCTTTTGTAACAACAGTGAGTTTCTGTACAATGGAACTCTTCAGCTTGACCATACTGATTTTATTTATTTTATGAATTTAGGACTTTAGTCTTCTAATGGAGTGAGAATGAGTAGGTGGGAAAAATGTGGAGCATTGTCAGTGTATGTGTGCTTTTTTTTTGTGAGTAGAACTGAAAAGAATAAATACTTTTGCTGAAAAGTTGAAAATATTATAATTCTTTGTTTAAGCAAGCTGCCAACTTTCCACAAAAATATTAACATCATTTAAAAGTTATTAATTGAAAAGAGAAACAGAAAGAATTTTTTCTGCCAATTTATGAAAGATTAGATTATGAAATATTAGATGGATAGCCTTCCATCCTGAAGTCCTCTCTTTATCCCTAGCACAATCTCACAGGAACCATTTCCCCACTGAGAAGGTAGGTCAGGTTTCATACCCTTTTAGTCCAAGGTTCTTCTGAGCACAGGGTGCCTACTGTGGAGGAGCTTTATAAATTATGGGCAATTGATGATTGTGAGGTGAGCAGATTCAAGCAAATGCGTATGATAAAAATACCAGATACAGTCAAAGACCTTCTGATTAAACAGTCTTGAGAGGGCAACAGCCTTAAGTCACTACTGAACTGAGTTGGATATGCACTGGTGACCTAAAGGTGAAAGGCTTTTAGCCCCTAAAGTCCAGGCATTGATTTCTAATTCTCTTGTGAAATCAATCCCATGACATAGATATATTGAGTCACCTTATGGCTGCCCCGACTCCTCTGACCTTTGTCCTATCTATAATGTATGGAAGAATATTTAACGCAGCTTGTTTATGAAACAAGCTGTCCCCTCTGTCAGCTGCTGCCTTGGGCCATGGCTTATGAACAGGGCATTCAGAGGAAGGAGGACAATGAAATGTTTGGGTTCTCCTTGTTACTCAATCTGCTACATACAGTGCTGTGAGCGAGGCTGGCAGAGCCCTGCAATGAGTAATGATTCAACAGCATTTTATTTCACTGGAATTATAAGATCATGCTGTGTTCTATCTGTGATGTCAGGGTTAAGCTGCATTAACAACGCAATGGCTGTCATCAGAGAGTGTCAGAATGAATGCAATGAAAAATGGTGTTGGCAGGAGCCTACAAGGAAAGACTCTTAACGTGAATCACAGAAGCTGGGGAAGCTTGAGGGGAAAGATGATAGTTTGACTTAAAAGAAAAATTAAATAAAAAACTTCTAAAATTTCTCCAAGGGCATTTCAAAACAAGCAGAGAATTTAGATCTGTTTAATCCTTACTAGGCCTCACCTGTATGCTATACGTGGTGTAAACTAATTTTCCAGTGGATCTCACAGAGTTAAAAATATGTGATTAGGGCAAAAGATTATTTCAGGTAGAGGTTATTGCTAAATCTGGTTTAGGCAGACGATGATTTACAAAAATTACCAATAATGACTGATCTAATGTGCACGTGAAAAGTTTTTATGTCCACTGCTCAACTTCTGTTGAACAAATATTTCTACCTGTGGCTTTGATAAGTTGCTGGACACTCCCAGAAAAATGATAAAATCTAAAAAGTATACAGGTACTTCTATTTTACTTTTGGAAATGGTCCCTTCCTGCTTGTATTTTAAAACACGTAAGGGCTTGTAAATGTCAACCAGGCAAAAATTGCAGTGTTGCTGTCATGCTCAGCATGCTGCCAAATGTATGGGAAGTTTTCGTTTACTAGCAAAAGCATTTTTCATGATTTCTTAATCTGCATAAAATGCATGCAAACTCTACAGCTTTTGCCACATCCATTCTAATTTTGTTTCCTTTTGTTGTTGCTTTTATTGCAGCTACTGAAGGTTCTGTGATGTTAGACAGATGCTTTTGTGCTGACTGATATAACACAGAGGATTCTGCAGAGTCATGACTTGTCCTGATTTTATGAGTCATAATGACCTTTATCATCCTACCGACCAGGATCAGAGAGATAATAGACAGCTTTCAATAGTTGTTAGCCACTTGTTCCCATGGCTACCAGACCAATTTCCACACGAATTTAGGTTTTTTAATAAATTCTTCTGAGCCATTTGAGAACTAATGAAAGTGCTCGGGTTGTAAACCAAGCAGCAGGTGTTTACAAAGCATTATATTTCAGTGCTTCTGTTTTACAGAAGGAAAAAGGTATTAACCATTAATTTGAAAAATTCATTTGTTTGCAATATGTGATTGAAATAATGATTTTCATAAATGGCTCATCTACCATATTATTGATTCTTTACTCCAGTTATTTATTTTCAATGTTATTGTCCATATGTTATGTGAAATATATTTCCTTTATTTTTGCCATTTTCCAATTCACTGAACATACCCTTTCCCTTTCAGTTCTTGCGATGACACATAAAAATGATCATTAGACATGATTAAAATAGAAGAAAACTTTATGCTTTAGGTCACATGTAGGGAACAGAGAGAAAATTTCCACGTGGAATATTATCTTATAATTGCACACTATAGGATTTCTTTGCAGATAATAAGTATTTTCAGACAGTTGCACTGGTCTGAATTAAGATGAAAATTTCTTAGGAAATACTTCGGAAAATAGACAAAAAAAAAAGTTGTTTAAGAATCAAAAGGCAGATAGACAGTTGTGCAAGGAATGCCTTTTATTTATGATGATAATGACATCGCCATCATGAGCCCCTCTTTGATGCTCAAACTGTATCTCAGAATGAGAGGAAATGGCAGTATCTCTGGAAATGCCCCATCAAGCCTGAGTACAATAAGCTTCTTTACGTGCAAGGACTATGTCTATAAAGTTGCAGACACTTTGTTTCCCTAATCATAAATAGTTTAAACTGCTGTGAAGTGCTAACACAGTCCAGCCATAATTGGAGAACCCTACTTTACATTAATAGCCCAGGAAGGCTTTAGTATATTTTCCTCTCTAAAAAAGCATCTGTAGTAGGTACTTGGTACTTAGATCTAGTTAAATATAATAGATTGAATATACTTGGTTTCTTGAGGCTTAATTTCTTGGTTTATTTCAATGAAAGCTCAAACAGAAGTGAAGATGTACTTTCTCTGGTTTTGAATAGGGCTGGGATTAAGCATGTGATTCAGTATTCTTCAGTCAGAGACTGGTTTAATGTTTTACAAGTAGGTAATAAATAGGAATTGCGATCTTTTTCTGGTAGGATAAAATGAAAAATATGGCCTATTTTAATTGTTCTGTAAACATGAGGCTCTGTTCCTGCAATCTGATAACAAAAGGGAAATACAGTGGACTTGATGTAATTCTTTTTGGAGGAAAATGTTGATAAAAAGTTCACTCTGAAAAATATATAAATACAGCTTTTCTCCAGGAAGGAGTTGTGTTTGGATGTTATTAATAGTGACCCACCTATCTCACTGCATTATATGTATTGTTTATTTTATCAGGCTTCTCTGGCAATTGTGTTGGCTGTGGCAAGAAGGGTTTCTGCTACTTTACAGAATTCTCAAATCACATTAATCTTAAACTGACCACTCAGCCCAAGAAACAGAAACACTTAAAGTATTATCTGGTCAGGAATGCGCAGGGAGCTCTGACCAAAGGATCTGTAATCTGCTGGAAAGGGGCAGGTAAGATAATGAAGCTGTCTTCCTCAAGCTCTGGTTTTCATCATCCAATTTTAGCTGTCGTAGGGACCTAAGACACAGCAGTTGAAAGAAAGGCTCTTTAAAGCTAGGTGATTACTAGAGCAGCTGTAAAAAGCAATTCACTGACCTAACATGAGGATGGCATGTCTGAAGACATCAGTTCCTCCCTTCCACTTCTGTAGCCTCTAAGTAATTCATGTGTGAAATTATCTAATCAAATATGCAGAGGAAAAGCAAATGCCACTGTTGTCAGGGGATAAGAAGTTTCTTTTTTGTTAAGAGTTCAGAGGCCGGCAGTCTTCATCCAGCACCTGCTCAAGCACATTGTTCCAGCTGCCAGAAAGTTCGGGCCTCTCGGGAAGCACCGCCAGTGAGCCGCTGCCTGCAGCAAACCCAGGTGCTCCAGCTGGGATTCAGCAAACAGGTACTGCTTAGAGGGAAAACATGCTGGGTTTCCATGTACTCGTACTCTTCTGTGCATGTGTATTTGTGTGTGTGAATGGAAAGACAAATAAGCCCGCTACCACATAAAAGAAGTTAAATAGGTTTAGAGGTACATTACAAAAAAAGAAGGCAATCATACTTTGAAGGCTTGTTGCTGTTCATTTTTTCCTCTCAGGTTTATGCGTAAAAGGTTAGCAAATAATAAAATAGATGTTCTGCAGCTTGCTCACAGCTAAGGCAAACCAAAGTTTTTGGAAAGCCGTTATTTTTAAAGTTGCTGAGAATAGGTATTGTGTTCTTCCAGTTGTTGCTTGTCTGGTCACAGATGACAAATGTCTGTAACATGAACCAGTGTCATTTCCTATTTTTCTTCTGATCCAGTCTATTTTATGTTATGACCAAAATCCTCTTTACTACAGGCATCATGTAGTCATCAGCTGAAAAGCTCTTGAATATTTTTGTCTGTTGAGAAAAGTGTCTTTAATATTAAAAAACAAACTAATGATCAGTTTCCGTAACTTTTTTTTTTTTTTCTGCAATAAGAATTCTTTCAAAACATTTACTTTTTCATTAGCTTGACATAAATGAAAGGTGATGGATGATAGAGTCTAGAGTGATCTCTCTAAGCTTTTTCATAATGAAAACAGCTCTTTAGTGTCTTGTGACTATTACAGAGATTCACACAGAACTGAGGCACATCTGTTTATGGTTATATTCTCTCTCTGAGATAGAAGCCTGTTATATAGTTGTGATCTGGAATACTGGTACCCCTCCAGAACAAATCATCAATCTCTTCATAATAGCAGATTGGCATTTTTTTTTTTTTGGTGAAAGGTTACATATAGAAAAAAGCTACATTAATTACAAGCATATTAGCCTTGAGAAAACCTGTCTCTTTAATGCAGCATAGTTAAAAAAGAGTTTGGAAAGAGGGTGTCAAATTGGAATGGAGGCTTAGGAGATTTTTAGTAAATTTTAAACAAACTCTCTCATTCGTTTAGTTGGTTCCTGAGTAGACTTCATGTAAGAGCTAAAGTCCACTTGCAGAGAAGCTAAAGGATCTGACATAGGTATTTAATTGCAGAATCTGATTTTACCCAGGCACTTAACTATGAGTCAGACAGCAATAATCTGGTATGAGATCAGAACTTTTTTTTTTGTTTTATTGTATTATTTTTTTGGTTTTATTTTAAATTTATTTTTATTTTTATTTTTTTGTTTGTTTTATTCATCATTGCATTCACTCTAAGCAGATCCCGATGGCTCTATTAAAGTAAAAGATCAAGTGATCAGTTTATTTTATCAACCAGGGATCTTGACCTAGAGATGTTTAATATAAATACTTTGGTTTTTTTCTTCCCAGCTGCAGCCATAGATCACACCCCTTCAGCAGCAGCATTCAGTTCAGCAGTTTATAACGGCAAGGAATCACCTAAGCAACAGTTGGTGAAAAATAACCTGTCTGCTCTGACAAGACCTTCGGTGTTAGGTATTTGTATGGACTTCCTATATTTTAATAACCCTAAATTCTATATTTCATGGGCATAATAGAAACATTGAACAAATGATATCATGATCGTAATTTCCTATATGAATAGAAATGACTATTGTCTTCCAAGACATTTCTGACCATAACGTTTTTTCTGTGTTAATTTTCAGAAAACAAATTGTTTAAATGTTTTCAGCCATAGCTTTCTTACAGTTAATATTATTAATTAGAAGTTTTTCTTTATGGTTACCATTCATTCATTTAATAGAAGTACTGACTAGATTCTGAATCCCAGATCTTAAGGAATGTGTCAGTTTGCATCAATCTCACCAGCAGGTTTTGTGAAGGAAATTGAGAAAGATTTATAAGTAATCACTCGTAAGATAATTCCTATGTTGCTGTTCACCTTGGGATGGAGCACTAGACTTTGACAACTGGCTCCAAATTGAAGAAACTGTCCTTACTTCATTATTATCAGATTTGTGTTAATTGTTTTGTGTCACAAACTGTATTCTGTGTCACTGGCTTCTTTAAGCAAGCAAGTTAGTCTTCACTACATCTAGAAACATGCTATGGCTCTATTTTAGAATAAGTCTTCCCAAGTTTCCCTCTGAGCATCACAGCCAAATTCTTTTTCTCTGCCCATTCAGGTTCTTTGATCTCTTTCTTCCATACAGCAACATATTCTTGACAATTTATTTCAGATGGATTACTTTCACATATCAACATATTTGCAGGAAAGTGTATGTTCAAATAAAAAATTATTTCTATTGCTTTAACTATCTTGTGACTTTCGTTACAGTATGCCAGGAAACTAAATGAAAGAATGAGTAGAACAAATGGTTAAATACCGCCCTCAGGTGGTAGAAGTTTAAAGGACAAAGTCATCTTTGAAAACCTTTACGTCAGGTTTCGCAAGTGAACAATATTACTCTAGATCTGAAGACTTGAGGTTTATTTTTAATTTTAATATATTTTGCAAAATTAGATCCCCTTTTTATATAAGATTCTTACTCTGTCTTGAATTTTATGTGGGAATAACCATTCTGCCAAGAGATATAGCCTTGTAGTGTCAAGCAGTGTAACGACCTCTGCATAGTCATGTCCAGAAATAGAAATAGCTGAGCAATTAGAAATTGCTGAGCAATTCCTGGAGGACCACTGACTCTCGATAATTAGATATATGTAATGTTAGTGAAAGTGCATCGTTCTAGGAGTTTGCAGGAGTGCCCGAGAAGATTCAAGAAATTAATGAAAGAAAATCCAAGAAACTAATCATCAGGATCTCCTAGAAAAATTCTAAGGAAGTTGTGGTTTTGCAGGCAAAGGGATTGGAACTACACGTGGATAAGAGGAAAGTACAGAAGTAATTTGCTAGGAATTAATATGGAATAGCATAAAACCAAAGACGGTGACCAGTAAGAAATGACAAAAAAACTGTAAATGGGAAAATTGTTGAAAAAAACTTAGATCTTTATTAATGTTACCCTGAAACCCTTCAGAATTTTATTTTTCAATGTTACATGAAACACTGTCATGTGTTCAGAAATAAAAAGAGCAAAATTCCCCATGTTGTCTTCAAAATACTAACTTAGAAGCATTGTTAGTACATGTCTTGTTCTTACTATGTTATTATTAATACAGAGTAAACATTGGTATAAAATAAGTGAAGTCTACATAGATAATTAAGAGTTCTCTGAACTAGAAAATTCCCAGAAATTTAAGCGGGGCATAGAAAAGTAAAATAAAAAACATAAAAAAGGATTATATTGATGGGGTTGACCCTGTCTACCACAGTACTTAACACACACATTCAGTCTATCAGAACATTGAATTACCATGCACAAAATAGAATACATTTTGTTCTAATACTTTTCTGAAATATTACTGTTATTCAGGCACTTTAACAAATTCAGGGCCTCCAAAAAAGCGCCATAAAGGTTGGTCACCGGAATCTCCATCATCTACAGAAAACTGGAACTTGCAGCTCAACCCACAGGTTCCAAACAGAATTAAAAATGGTAAGCTATACCCAACATAATGATAGTGTTTGTCTCATTATTCAGAAAATAACGGGGGAAGAGAGGCAATATTTTAAAGACGCATGCAGATTCACATTAGAGTTTTGAAAGATGTTTGATACGTACGTGCTCAGAATTATTTATGTTCATTTCCATTAATTTCTTTTTGAGGCCCTGAGTTTAACTCTTATCATGATCCAGTCATCAAGTCGTTATTAAGAAATCCTAACAGGTGTCTGTATCCATCTTTAGGCACCAAAACACCTTTGGGATGTTAAAATTAGTGTCATAACTCAGGTCAAGGTACTATTCTTTGTTTCAATTATTTGTCAGTGTTCTTGGCACTTGGATCTTAGAGTCTAGATACAGACTACAGTGACATGCAGTGAAATAAACCTGCTTTCCCAAACATGTTTTCTTCTAATGTGCTATAGTTTAAATGAAAAATACTGTGAAAAAAGTTACGACTGAACAAATGTTGGATCTTAATTTTTTCTTTCTTGCTATTGCAAGAGAACCTATTTAGAAGCATGAAACTGAACATATCATACAGAATACACAAATCGTAACTATTTGTGCCCTGATATTACATAAGTCGCTGCATTCTTGCATTCATAGCTGGAACTGTTTGTTTATAAACATTTCAAAATCTTTAGATGCATGTCTGATGTTCAAGGTCACACCAATGTAATTAGTCCTCCAAGAAAGTTAGCATAATAGTATGGGCTGTAGTAACAGCTCATGAAATGTGTGATGTAACCATAAAAAGCATTTAACACTGATACCAAATGTGGGTATGAGATGATGTTAAATAATTTTTATTTGAGTAAATCACTATTAGACCTGACTCAAGTAATAATATGTGTAAAATCCTAGATGGAGGAAGCCTATCATCTTTACCACATTCTGCTTTGGTGGGGCCAGCCTCATCTCCCATGGTGGGCTCAGGAGAACCGGTCTCAGTTCCTGACAACTTGCTGAAAATCTGTAAAGCAAAGCCAGTTATTTTTAAAGGTAAAAATCTCAACCCTGTAACAAGACCTTATATCTTTTCCATAAGAGGTGTAAAGATACATCCTACTGCTAAACACTGCTAAAGCTTTCAGTTTTAGAAGGTTTACTATTAAAACTGTTTAATGTATACATGGGAAATTACAAATTTTAGTGTGATGTGCACAAACTTCATTTATTTTGTAGGTCATGGAAACTTCCCATATCTCTGTGGGAACATTAATGATGTGATAGTGAGTCCTTTGCTGTACACCTGTTACAGAAATTCACAGTCTTTATCTAGAGCATATGAACAATATGGTGCCTCCACAATACAGCCTATTTCAGAGGAAATGCAACTCTTACTGACTGTCTACTACCTTGTTCAACTAGGTAAGATAATTTTACATCCAGATAGACTGCAATGAATATATTACATCCCAGCAAATTAAAAAGGGAACATTAGGGCAGAACAATATTACATATCAGTCTTGGGACATGTGATATTAAACAATTTATTTTGTTGTAATGAAACAAAACTAAATAATTGGTTCTTGAAAACCAGGCAGATTGAAATATAATCATAAAAGGTTAATCTTCTATAACCTGAGACCTCAGCAACTAAAAATCAGAAAAGGAAAAGAGCTGCAATTCACCGCTCTTGCATACAGTCTGTGGTTTAGAAGTATTATTTTGCTGAAACAAGCATCTCTCAACCTTTTAAATACTTCTAATTACTGATACTCAAGTTCCAATTAGGGCAGCTTTATCTGAGTATCATAAGGCACTTCAAAATGAAAAATTCGATTCACATCTGTTAAAGGCAATAGAATCAGGCATGCATACATAAATTTGAAACGTGATCATCTCTAAAAAAGTACATATTTTGAAAAAAATGTTTTAAACTCAACAGTTTTGTTTAATTGTTTCATAATACTTCTTTCTTCATTTTTTTTTTTTTAGCCTCAGACCAGGTCCCTTTGATTGAGGATTTGGAACAAATATTCATGCGTTCATGGCGGGAATCACACCTGTCTGAAATCCGTCAGTACCAACAGGCTGTTCCACAGACCTTTCCTCAGGTGGCCAGCCAGATCGCACCAGTGACTTCAGCCCAGCTGCCCTGGCTGGCGGGCCTCGCCGCCAGCTCCTGTAACGATAGTGTCCATATCATTGAGTGCAGCTACTCGCTGGCTGAAGGGCTTTCGGAAATGTTTAAGCTACTCATTGAAGGGAAATTAATAAAGACAAACTACGTGGTGATCATATGTGCCAGTAGAAATCGAGCCATTGATTCCTGCATTGTGATAACAGGTAAGATCTGAAGGGTGTATCTCCAGGCAAAACAGAGTAATTCAATGCTATGAGGGGTTTGGCTGGAGTTTCAGTAAGCTCCCTCAGAAAGCAGAGCTTTGCCCAACAAGTAATGGGTTTTGATGAACCCAAGTTGATGCTGCATAGTTGGGTTTCTCCCCAGCAAATCATACTCTGCGTTACCTGTTTTCTCACTAAGACATCCCAGCCAACACTACTACAAACAAATAATACTGAGTTACAGCATGCACAGTACATAAAGCTCTCCTGCTCTGTGTGAGTGGGATATTATGCAAGCAGAGGACTGAACATATTTTTTAGCTTCTAAAAAAAGATGGTCTTTCAGTGTCATTCTTTTCAACAACCTCTTGAGGGCTATGCTGATAATTAAATAAATTATTTGACCAGCCATTCAAAGATTCATTATGAGTGTAAGATAATTGACAATTCCTTTGACTATTTATATGGTCTTTTTATATATTGTATCAACAAATATTTCCTAAACTGGGAAAGAAACACAAAGAATTGTGAAACATGAATCTATCTTACAGGTGTCTGGTGCATACGTGCATAGGAGAGAGAAAAGACTCATCTCTTCCATTTTTGTGTGTGTGGTATTCATTTAGCTGGGTAGTACTTTTATTATGACTTAGAACATTTTAACTTTAGTTTGAAGTGCTTCCAAAATTACTTGTTTTTTTTTTGTCTTTTAGGAAAGTATCAGGCAAGAGTTCTGTCTGAGAGCATGCTCACTCCTTCAGACTACCAAAAAGAAGTTAACTATCAGCTGGTCACAGGGAAAGTGGAAACTCTGGGGTCCTTCTTTAGCACACTCTGCCCAGGTACCTAATAGGTTATAAAGAGGCACGTTTCCAAGTCCCTGAAACTTTTAAGTCAGAGAAAATACCTGTGCTCATTACCTTTCCAGAAGCAAGACATTATTAGAAATATATAAAAAATGCAGGACAAAGTTGTGAAAATACATCTGAATTGAAATTTCTCCTGAAAATGTCAGTTTCTAAAATCTCTCAGTTTCATAAAAATATGCGAGCAAATAGCTGAGCATATTATTCTTAGCTATGCAAATCCATCCATGCACTATGCAAGTCCATATCCATATGAAACTATAAATTCTTTTGCCCTAAACACGGAATTCACTGAGACCATAATAGAGTTATTTTGTCAAAGGTAGGATTTGCCCTTTCAATTTACCATACTGTGAACTTGGTCATGATGCAAGGGAAAGAGAGGAAAATTGCAGAGAGTCAGGGTTACTGGATCATTTTTAAACTGAGTATACTGAGGATTACTACAGGCAAGATTATCTGGGGATAGATCTAGCCACAGGAAAAGTTAAACTGTATCACACAACTCGAGCAAATGCAGCATATTTGTCAGTGTTAGTGGGATGTCACAGTCCCCTTTGCCATTCACTTGATGTTGGTAAATCTGTACTTAGATCACAAGAACCCTTTTGGATGCATCATGATATTTTGAGTGGTCACTTAAGAGAAACTCGTTTTCCTTGAACCACCGTGTAGTTACGTTAGTGTTTCTACTCTTAGTATCTTCAAAGTATGGTTCTCAAAATCACTTTTACTATTGCTATTGTTTGAGCAGAAGTAAATGAACATCCTAAAAATAGTTGCCTTCTATATCCACTGGATGGCACTTCATGGGGCAGATCCTGCCTTCTGAGCTCAGTGCAGACATGTTCAAACATCTTTTCAACTGCTGAGAAAATACTAAATACTCAGGACAGTCATATTGTATTCTCTGCATAGCTTTATCTGTAAGCAGGTCCCTTGCTGAATAGAATAGGATGTATTTACAGATATTTATATTGTTCAATAAAGTACACCTTGCTTGCTTCAGCATTGTGTATAGCTAAAACCCCTCATATTTCTCTTTCAGCTTTATAGAGAATTATTTTTCTTTCTCTCAAAAATGTTAAAGATTTTAAAATATTTATCAGGTTTTCCAAAGCTTCTTGTAATCGTTATTAGTGAACAGTCCAGCGGCATGATCTGAACATAAACTAACCAGTTTCATGTCTTTGTTGTTGCTGATTTGCATCAGGGACTTGAGGCTAGTTTTCTACCATCCTTCATAAATGCCCTAGCCAATGGTCTGCAGAGCTGGTGTCTCATTCCCTGCTCTTATTTGCATTTTATTAGTGATATACTGTTAAAACTGATGCAATAGAAAATAACAGGAGGGTTCCTGTATAAGTCAAGGGCAGGATAACTAAATAGCAATATAAAGCTCTTTTAAGATCTGTAAAACAAAATCAGTATGAAATGCAGCTCTTACTAACATGGATGTTTATTCCATTATCCCTTCAATTTGATAGAGGGTGACATTGATCTTTTGCTGGAGAAATTTTATCAGGAAAACCAAGGGCACATATCTTCATCACTTTCTGCTTCAGTGAATAAACCAACAGCACTGAATGGAACTGGAACGACTGCATGTACAAGTAAGGAGGATTTTCTAAAGAGGTAACAGAGTAGGTACTTGAGACCATGTGTCTAGGTGTGCAGTTAGATCTATCTGGGCAGAGTCCTAGGCTCTTGGCGGTGAAGGTCCTGACGCAGGCAGCAACTCATGTCTTAGAATAATCAGATTTACTGATGGAATCTCTGCTTCATTCCACTGGGTATTGTAGTCTCTGAAGTTCTAAGTCTTACTTCTGTGGTAGCAGAATGCTATTGCACAAGTTCAGTTTCAGCTCTCAGACATTTAAGAGACTTACAGGACCAAAATGACCAAATGCAGAAATATTTCTTTGCATATTCCATATAGTTTTTCACAAACTGCAACTCCTGTTCATAAGCAAAGTACCTTAAAGAGTAGATCAGTCATTCTTTGCCAGACTAACATTTTATATGAGGTTAGACTTTGAGCATATATCTAAACAGAATTTTGCCTTTTTCCAGGTTATGAGATTGAACGACATCAGATTCGTCCATTCCAGCTAGCAGTGGCTCAGAAATTGCTGTCTCATATTTGCTCAATTGCTGACTCCAGCACTCAAAATCTTGATTTGGGTTCCTTTGAGAAAATTGATTTCTTGATTTGTGTTCCACCCTCCGAAGTGACTTATCAGCAGACTTTGTTTCATCTCTGGCACTCAGGTGCTTATTAGTTAGCTTTATTTTAGATTTACAGGACATTGTTAAATGCATTTGTATTTGGAAATACTGACATTTGTTTCATTTCTTTAGGTATTTTATTAGAACTTGGATTAGAAAAGGAACATCTTACAAAGCAGAGGGTGGAACAGTATGTTATGAAACTAGATGCAGAGGCCCAGATGAAATTCAAAGTATTTTTACAAAACTCTATGCAGAATCCACATACACTGTTTGTGTTAATCCATGATCACGCACACTGGGATCTAATGAGGTAAGAAAACTGTAACTCCTTTTTAGAGAAATTATTATTGTTTGCATTAGTTCTCAAGATCATCTTTCTGATTTATCCCTTCCCTCATCTTTGCATTTTTCTGCTAACTCTTATCTTCCCATGCATTGAATAAACATGTTTTCTTTTAAGGTCCTTCATGACTTATCTTGCTTATTATATTATGCCTCAGTGGAACATTTCAGCTTTTCTTGCTCACCATTCTTATCTTCTTTCAGCCACAACTATTTTTTTTTTTTTTTGTCTGGTTGTCATATGTTCAAAGGAAAGCTTCCTGTGAAAGTACACAGAGCTCATTATCCTCTGTCAGTGTCCTCTGGGCTGGAAAACATGCAAAAACCCTCCACAGTGAGTAGGCAACTAGTGAGCCAACACTGCTGCTTATTTCTTTAACTGATTGGAAATTTTCCAGTACAATGTTTTTTCTATCCAGAATCACTGACTGATAATAATGGAAAGTTTCTGTGGATACGTAGTAATGTCAGGTAGACTCCTCAGAGAAGCAGGGAGCTTTCTGTCCAATGTTTACCAAGTTCCCCATCAGCTCACTTGCATAACTCATTGCTTCCCTCACAGAGCCCCATTTCCTTGGCTTCTCGACAACCTGCCTGCTAAGAAGTTGGGCTGCTTTTGCTTTTTGGCTCCCGAGACACTGGGGAGCTTGGAGAACATACTGAATTCCAGAAACACCAACATATTCCAACTTTGGGAGAACAGTAGTTTATACTAAAAGCTATGGAATCTTGCTTGTGAATGAAATGACAAGGTTTTGCCTTTCACACTGGTCAGGAATGGTGATTTTCACCAGAATTTTGTACCTGCGTGTGAGGGTTTCCTGTTCAACTCCTCTGTATCTGAGGGACTTGCATGGCCCATTACAGCTGTCACAGCCTTTAAGGCATTTATTCATATGGCATCCTTCAGTGACAGGGAAATACCTGTATTGCTGCTTAACTCTGGTATTTTTGCCTCTTATCTAATAAAGATATGTAAGTGACAAATACTTAAGTGACTGTTCTGCAAAGCAAGGTTCATGACACTTAAGTCAGTTAAATGAGGTGCCTAAAACAGGAGGGTAATTGCCTGGGATTGCCCACATAGTCACAACAGAGACACGACATCTCTGAGGGCTGAGTTAGATCTTGGGTGGGCACAGCCACTTTCTGGAGTTACTTATCTCTCTCTGCTGGTAATAGAAGGAGCTTGCAGACACTAGACTTGTAACTTAGTCACTGCAGGTAGATGCCAAAAATTAAATAGCATGAATCTGGACTGAAGTTTTACACCAGAGCAAAGAATTGACGTAGGTGTTCCATGATGCTGGCATTTGCCCTAACAATAACTATTTTTACCTTTCATAACGGCTTTATCTCTCATATTCTGGTAGCTGTAAGGGATGGGTAATTTGCTGTCTAGGGAGACTTACAGTAATTTTCAGCTGCAGTGAAATAATTTGAATTTTTCTTTTTTCCTATCCTTCTATGCAACAAAAGCAGAGCAAAGAATAGAGTCCTAACTTCCTTGTACATGTTTCACTTCAATTTCACATGCAGGTTAAAGCTTTCCACTGACACAAATGTTTCTTTGTGCTGATCACTTTGGAGAGTTTTGGGTTTCTTTTTTGCAGTGCTATGCATAGCCTTTATCCTCAAACAGAACTGTCTACAGGAGTTGTTGATAGACTGTTGAACTGCAGGGAGGTGAAAGAGGCGCCAAATATTGTGACCCTCCATGTGACTTCCTTCCCCTATGCGCTGCAGACACAGCATACTCATATCAGCCCTTACAATGAGATCCACTGGCCTTCTTCATACAGCAATGTAAGATGGATGCTTTGAGGTGCTTTTGTGAGCTTTTCATAAGTTATTTTACAATTACATACTTGATGAAATTGTGGAGGCCCCATGATTTTTGTAAACAAGAATGAAGCCTGGATGGCATCTTTATCTTGTTCAGTCTGAGTTCTTTTCCCCTTGCTTGTCCTGTCATTTCTTGCCTTTTTTCTTTATTCCTTTTATATCTTCTATAAACTGTAGTAGTTCTGCTAAAAATCTTTGAGCTACATAAGTGGAAATCATCTAAAAATCTGCCTCTAGTGCATTACTGCGTAAATATATGAACATTTATGGATTTTTTTCATATGTGTGCATATTTATTCCATACATAGATGTTCTGTCTGTATATATGTATATGTGGGGAGAGAGGAAGAAACAAGGAAAAATTGGGTCAAACTTCTCTCTTAAAAAAAAAATAATTTTTTCTTTCTCTCCTTGTTTTAATGTCTGAGTAGATATATGCTTATTAGAGAACGTGATTTCAAATATATCAGATACCAATGGTTGATCAACTGTAAATTAATAATTGATAGACTTTACCTTTATATTTTTATTGCTTCATTTGCTTTAGGGTGTAGATTTATACCATGAAAACAAGAAATACTTTGGACTGTCAGAATTCATTGAGTCCACCCTCTCTGGACATAGTATTCCACTCCTTCGGTATGACAGCTCATTTGAAGCAATGGTCATGGCTTTGGGAAAAAGGTATGGTATCCTTCTCTGTTTAACACAGGAAATTCAGGAGGTGTGTTCAGTGACTTGAGTTATTACCTAGAAGCCTGGATCTTTTTTTTTTTTTTCTTGCTGTCTCACAAATCAGCTGTGTATGCAAGGACATTTCACTCGTTCTTATTTTCTCCTTCCATCTTTTTTTTATACATTTGGACTGTAATCTAATTAGTCTAGGCTACCTCTTACTGTGAACACACACACAGTTTAGCCCAGTGTAGAGTATGTTCTTGCTGTGACCAGTAGCTACTTGTATATTATAATAATCTAACATTGCATCATCATGTAATTTCATATGTGTTATTGCTTTTCTCCAATGTTATCACTTGCTGACCCTGATTTTGATGTGTAGACTTTGTGTATACTGTACTTGGACCACAAAGAGAAGTGGACATATCACTGTGGCTTTACACTTAAATCAATGATAAAAACTTCAGAGCATCATCAGATCTTGAAAATAAATAATCAGTTTTGCTTGATCTCTATGAAGCAAGTATAGAATCCTGAAAAAGAGTAGTGACACATTATGTGCACGCGTGCAGCGGTGGATGAACTCTGGGATCTGTAAGAAGAATGAGACAGGACAAGTAAAATCTTGTGAATTTCTGTTGCTAACTGGTAGACTGAGCACATACACACTTAACTGCTGGGGTTTCCTTCAGGGTGCTTTGGAGCTCTGATCATGCATATCAACACTTTTCTAAGCAAGCCATAGTTGCTCTTTTTATTGTGCATCTGGGCTTCATTTCTGTGAAAACCAGAACACGGGAACATATTGCATATCCACATTTCTCCCTTCCATTGACTGGGGACTGAGACAGGGTGTACCTGGGCTTGGGAAGTTAGAGTGCTCATTGGATTCAGCTCTCTTGGAAATAAGAGTAAGTTGGTTCAGGGCTTCAGTAAGAATAAAAGAGAAACACCCCTCACCCCCCCCTTAAGAATAACACATAACGAAGTGTACTATTCTCACAGTACTTTGATCGATGATATTACTGAGTGCCTTAGAAAATATTCTGTGATAAATTTTGTAACACCAGTAAAGTCTTGGTAACTTAAAGTGATGTAACCTTACTGGACTACTTGCTTAGTAAATCTTTACTAAGAAATGTAGAGACATCTGTTCTGATTGTGAAATGATACATTGCAAAGGCTATCCAACTGCAATTTGGTGAGTTTCTGCTGTATATTAGATATGAAGGATTCTTTACAGGATAAAATCCTGAGTTTACTATATGTTGAAAAATTAGCTTTTTCACTTTAGCCTTTACTACTTCACTATTTAATTCACCATTTATTTCAGGTTCCCCAGATTACACAGTGCAGTGATAAGGACTTTTGTCCTCATACAACACTACTCTGCAGCTATGATGGCAGTGTGTGGTCTTTCTCAGATGAAGAATTACACCTCAGTTGAAACTCTGGAAATCACCCAAAACCTAATAAACTCTTCAAGACAATGTCCTAGTGGTCATGGCCTCATGGTAGTGTTGAGAATTCCATGTACTCCGCTGGCTGCAGTGGCATATGAACGTCTGTATAATGTAAGGGAAAGACTAGCTCTTGAAGATAACTTTGAAATAATCTTGGGAAATCCTAATTCTGGAATCACAATAGGGAAGCACTTTGTGGAGCAACTAAAGGTAACTTACAGAATGACATATACTGGGAAGCTTCATTAGATGGGTAGGTGGGGAGACTTTACTGGTGAGAATTATGGTCATAAGCTGAAGTGTGGGTCTTACCAGTAAAAAAAAAACCAACCAACCAAACAAACCCACAACGTACCATAAGGAGCATGACTTTTATCTTTTAGACATACTGTCTGTGACACCTCTACTGTCCTACCTCTGGTTAATACTCAGTGAAGTATTAACTAATATGGCTAGAACCTGACTTCTAGCAACAACCCTCCCAAACAGCTGAACTGCTTTTATCTACAGGGACCATGACCAATAAGGAAAAAAGCCAAATAAAGTGGCCACAGTTTTAGCAGAATTTTCTCTCAAAATCATCAGAGTGCCAACAGATTTTCATCAGTGACCAGCTGAGTTATATTATTCTTGTCACCAGCAGGTGGCATGAAGGCACCAAATCAGTGGTGCCTAGAGTACCCTGATATTCACAGCTCAGGACTTTATGCATTCTGGACCATGTTGGTTTATGGATTAAGTTATATCCTTTAGATCCAGAGTTGTGGTCATCCGTTTAAGAAAAGCCTGTGATACTCCCTTGCTTTTCATAAAATTACCATCATCTGATCACCAAAGGAAAAATGTATTCACATTCTAGGATGGTGTAATATATATGGTATGCTCTGTACCGTGTCTGATTAAATACGTCAGATGCAGTCATTTGAGATCCAGGGCGTAATGCTTCTGTAAATTAGGCATAACTTATTCTGAAAAATCAGTATTAGCTCTGAATCACATCCTCATTGTCTTCTCTGACATACGTAATAGTGGTACATGTACAAATGTCAGAGGCTGAGTTGTTGTACTGTTGGTCCTACTGTGTACTCCTTATCTGTAGATCAGTCTTGGAGCAAACACTGACTGGTGTGAGCAAAGCAATATAGCCTGATGTTAAACAGCCAAACAATAGATCTAGTTATCGAACTTCTCATGAAGTTATCAGGAAAACGGTTAGATTTTGGGGAGAGCAGAAGACTTCAGTGGGTAGCAAATGAGGACAAATGAGTGTTGAACAATTCCAGCTTTCCCCTATTCTTCTAACATGAAAAAGCTCACTCCTGCCTCATTTTCTTCCTTAGACTCAGACATCCATACATTATCTGCCACAAGAAGCAATCCTCTGAACTCTTCTCTCCCCCAAAGCTCCTACTCAGCTTTACTGTCCATTGTACCATGTACACTCTGCCCACCTATGCTCTGGCCCCAGTGCTATGCAACTGGGAAGCTGGGAGGCTTTTCCATACTGTGCCAACATACTGTCCCAACTTCCTCAAATTTACATCAGGCAGATTGCTACCTGTAATGCTGTAGGAATTGTGCAATCTGCCTATGTTGAAATTGGCTCTGCTCTGTGCCTTCCCTTGGTGGAACATCCATCCACTGTACGAAACGATTCATATAATGGATGATCAAAGTATATATTTCTGGTTTTTTATTTGTGCCATATAGATATGTCAAACAGTGTTTCTTACGTTGTACAGGTCTGGCAGAAAATTGAAGATGTAGATTGGAGGCCACAGACTTACTTGGAACTGGAAGGTTTGCCTTGTATATTGATATTTAGTGGTATGGATCCACAAGGGGAGTCTTTGCCACGGTAAGAAGATCCAGTATTTTCTCAGTGGCAGTGTTCTGTCCATTGCTTACCAAATGTCTGAAGATTAACTGCGTAATTACTTGTGGGAGAAGAAAACAGGTTTCAGTGTCAAGATTTTTTTACCTATTTTTTGGCAGTTTTTATATCATAAATAAAAACCCTATGTCATTAATGATAATTTCCTTTTTACAGTAATATATAAATACCTCAGAAAACATTATGATTTTCCTAGTTTAGAGGAGACAATAAGGGTATGTAAAAAAAAAGTATAGCTGCTTTAGATATCCTAGGGTAGCTGAGACATCCCCATGATGCTGTGTATGTGCTACAGGATGTGTGGAGAGATCAGTGTCTTCTGGAATGACAGGATGCCCTGGGGCACTAAATGCTTTCGTGTGTTCAATTGAATACCATTCTGTGTGTTAGGTTTAGAACCCAAATACTTTTTTTTTTTTTTTTTTTCTTATGCTGATGCTAATGTTCAGTGCACTAGATGAAGCTGCATAACTGGGTTAAAAAAAATAAAAGTGTATGCACCACAGTGGTGAATTTATTAAGTATGGAAGATATACTGTGTTCTATCATCTCATCTGTAGTTTAAGCAGATTATGAAAAAATTCCCCTTTGGCTGTGTTTGTAAAAGAAATAAGGGAGTAGATTAGAGTGAGGTTTCATACGAGCCCCTCTTGTTTCTCTCTAGATCACTGAGATACTGTGACCTACGTTTAATAAATTCATCTTCTTTGGTAAGGACAACCTTGGAGCAAGAACTTGGTTTGGCAGCATACTTTGTGAGCTCAGAAATTCACACAGAAAAAGCAGTTGTGAATGATGTGTTAGAAAGTGACCCAGAGAAACTAAGCAGCACTGATAATGAAGATGAAGAAATAGCGACGGAAGGTATTATTAGTAGTGATAATAAAAGAAGCTGTAAAATGATTGAGTTGTATTAGAAAAAGCAGGCTTGTATAGATACCTACTTGGTGAGGGTTTCTAGAGTTAGCTTTACTGAGTGAACTCTGCTCCTCAGATTTGCTTCATCTCACCCAACCTGTGTTTTCTCACCCTCCCTGCCTGGGGACTGCTGCTGCTGCACCATTTTAATCTCTTGCAGATCTGCTGCTGCATCTGTTCTCTCTCTGTTTTTTTGGCTCTCTTCTCTCCCCTCCCTCTGTACGTCCTTTGCCTCATATGTTCTGGCACCTGTGAAGTGGAGCTTGACTGGGTACATCTAGTGATGCTCACTGCTGGGAGTGCTCTGCTACTGTTTTGCCCTCGCTGCAGCAGGGAAGGGTGCGCTTTGCCACCTGAGAAACGGTGACCAGATCCCCTCTCTCACAGCAGGGGCAGCTCCACCTAAACTGTCCCTGACTGATGATACCCAACCTATGCTTACACACTGACAATGATGAAGATTCCTCCCAAGGAAACTGCATATAGTACAGCTGAGTAGTCTCTAGTTTGTAAGGTATTAAACAGTATGGCTAGAAAATATATCTGAACATAGTAACTTCTGAGTATTCCTTGAAAATGTCCATTCATTCAAACTGACAGTGTAGTTAGTGTGGTGACTTTATAATTTCTTAAGAGAGCAATTAGGAACATATAAATGTATAAACAACCAACAATAATTTACCCATGAACTGTTCGGGTCTTTTTTGAATGATAGTTGATGGGCACTATCAGTTATTAAGTTCTTTACATTTTTGTTCACTGTCTATTGTGCCTTGTAATTGTGGAAAACAACGGATTTTTATCCCAATAGGTTATTTAAATCTCAAGTTCTTGCCTTCATTTCCTTTTCTATACTATGAGGAGGAAGATAGCTGACTACTGTTCACCTATTAAGTTCTTACTCATTGATAATGAGGATAGCAGAACAAGCAGAACAAAAATATTTACTTTAATTGGATATGTACTTTACATAGAAGAATGAAATAGCTGAGGTCATACTCAGACTGTCTACAACAGAGGCTACTTTAGATGTGATGAGTACTTCTGTCCATTTAGTTGAAGCATGCCGAGATTGTATGTGATCTGAGTCAAATGGTCATCTAAGTTGTCAGGTGTCTAAATTGTAAGGCCGCTTATGCTTGTATGCTCCTCCAGAGTCCAATTCAGAACACTTGAGATAGACTTACAGCCTTAATTTTTCTGCTGGCAGTGCTAAGGTTTCTGTTTACCACGGTAAGACTGTATAGAAACAAGCATTTTAACTTAGAAGCCTAAACTAGGAACCTCAAGTGAATATCCTTGGTGGCCATCCAAATGTAGATTTTCGTCACCAAAAGCTGAGGTATAATCTGGCTGTAAAGTTGTAATGTATGAGGTAGGATGTAATTTCATAACATACTGACAAAATAGAGCTTGTTGGCTGTTGGTTTACCTGACACTGGTTTAGTGAGGAAAATAAGACATGGGTAGAAAAAGAAAACATGGTTGAGACATGCCTAGAAATTACCAGCTCCTGGCTGCAGCCTTGATTTGGTGAAGCTACGGCAGCTCAGCATAGTTAGATTAGGACATAGGCTGGTCCAATATTGCATGGTAGGAACAGATACTCCATACTGAAAATAGAGTCAGAATGAGGACAAAACCCACACAAACTCTTGTGGGCTTTTCCCTACTTGTATCTTGACGATGTAACTTTGCTTTCTTACAGGCTTACTTTAATTATATTTTGGTTTTGTTTTCCCTTTACTACCATTCATGAAACAGGTTCTACTTCAGAAAAGAGAAGTCCTATGAAAAGAGAAAGATCTCGTTCCCATGACTCTGCATCTTCATCTCTCTCTTCAAAAGCTTCCAGTAAGACCTTAAGATCATCTCTATTAAGTTACATTTAGGACATAAATAAGACCTTTTATTCAGATTATTAGATAAATAATAAAAGGCGTAATCCACTAAGATTTTGGTAAAGCCTATTTTAATGGGATCACTAAAGATAACTTTAAAACAAATAAGGATCAGACTTCTGAAATATAAGAAATAAGATCTTTTCTTGCTTGAAAAATAATCACAGGATAGGGTGCCTAAACCAGGCACTTCTTTAATATGTGCTACTGGGGTATGAATGCTCAGTTAGTACTGTGATGGCTGAGTGTGCTCGCTGAAGCCATGACAACTTATGAAAAAGAAAACAAGCTTCACATTTTTAAAAAACCTTTTGAAAATCTATAGGAGAAAAAGTATGCTCATCCTCATTGGTATATTTCTTTTTGTTTTGTCTCTGGAATGTTCACTCATTAATTTTGCACTGTTTGAAAGCTCTTTTAGAGGTGGATAATTTTTTAAATCTTTGGTTCCTTTTTAATCTGCGAAGGGATGTAGAAAGCATGAGGCAAATTACTACATCTCTTTGATAAATTTCTTCGCATTCTTTTATGCAGATAATATCAAGAGGAGAGTTGAATAAAAATGGGGAATATAAATTGTACTGTAACTTCCTAGAAGTTGCAATCTCATGCAGCATTTAAAATCATGCTGGGTTTTTTCAGTGACAGTATATTCATTTTGATCTAATTGTAGTTTTCAACATTGTGATGTGCGTATTTGGCCCATGATTTCTTTTCTACAGGCACATTGGTGGTTAAAAAAGGACAAAATTCTTGAAAACTTTTGGATAAGCTTCATCAACACTTTAATTTTCAAAATATTTTCTTCTTTAAACTTGGGCTGTTCATCAGTTCCAGTGTCCATGTGGCATGCCTGTGACTTTGTGGCCTCAGTTTGTCTGTGGTTAAAGAAATGTTTTTTCGTTTCTTTTTTTTCTGCGCTCTTGGATACAGGTATTTTGAAGGATGTCACAGTGGGTTTTTTTTTATAGCCATTCATACTGCTGGTGATATTTTTGTATTTATTGCTAATGTCCTTTACTGGCTATTTTAGATTAATATGCAGCTGGAGTATATCTTACTATGTCTTGAGACCAAGAGAAATGACGCGTTTTTGTTACTTCAAAATACGGGCAGTTGTTTGAGAACCAAGACCGTTGTTTTCACCATGAGAGGAAAGCCGTGTGTATCTATGTTTAGCTTCAGATAAATATTCCTAGTATCATGTGGAGACTGATTCTTCAACCAGTTCTGAGTCTACTCTGAAGACTGTGAAGTATTTGCATCTCCTCTTTGGAATTCACTAAGCATTAAAGATGCTCAGAACCACTTAAAATGAGGCCTTAAACTTTCAAGAACTCTTATTAGTTAGAATATAGAAGGTAAAAATAGACCACTTTCAGAAAATCAGCAATTAGCTGTGGAGTATATCTACATGACATATTCAAGGCCAACATTTGTGAGTTCAGTATGTGCTCTGAACTGACCCAAAGCTGTATGAATGCATTAATGCCTTATGTAGCACCAGAGACTTGAGAGCCAAGTTTTATTAGATTAAACTACATGCTGTAGCGATGCAGACACATGAGTGTCAGTTCAGAGCTGACTCAGAGGACTGTTTCTAGATGTCAGTCTGTAGACACTTCTGTAGTCTGATGGGGCTATAACCTTTGAATATTTATTTTATTACATTCTTTTAAACAGTGGTTTCAGTAATTTTTATTTGTCTCGTGATGAAAGTATCTGATGAACACTTCAAGCAAGGAATGAATGAGAGAAGTAGAGAACAGGACAATCACTGACATCTTTCCTATGCACTTCAGTGCTTTAAAAGCCACTTTCAGCATTAAGATGTATACCCCAAACTAGTCCCATTAGGACTTCTTGTATGAGAAAGGTGAAAGCAAGAACAGGACTGGGATTGCAATGTTTGTTGAATACTCTATCCATGTTTACCCATGCCATTGACTAGCAGAGATAGTTGCACTGTGTTGAAATACAAACTTTCTTTTAGTTACAGCATTCTGCAGTGAGTCATCTCCTCCTTTAATAGCATCAGGGGATACAGCAAAATCCCCCCACCAAGTCCTAAGCAACAGCACTGAAGAAAATACAAATAACTATGAAAGGCAGAAGCAGAAAGTAGACAAGGGGGCACAAACAACAATCAGCAAACACTTGCCACTGGTAACTGAACAGCTGGATATTAAACAAAACATTAAAAGTGCCCAAATTTCCATCACCTCATCATCCTCCTCACCTTTCTCCTCCTCTTCTTCCTCCTCTGCACCTACTCATAACTCCTTCATCCTACAGACCTCTCAGTGCTCCATGACCAAAGCATCAAAACAGCCTCCTATAGTTTTCCTGCCCAAACTGGTTTATGACATTATTACTTCTACGGACAGCAGTGGACTTCCCAAATCTTCTTCACTCTTGCCTTATCATTCTGTTATGTGGGCAAGTTCTTTTCGTCCTCTTATGAGTAAGATGATGACTTGCACGGAGCAGTCTCTATACTACCGCCAATGGACGGTTCCCAAGCCAATCCATATGGACTACAACAATAGAAATGAGGGCAGAATGGACACCTTTCATCCAAGAAGGCTGCTGCTGAGTGGGCCACCACAGGTGTGTATATAAGAACAAGGTATTATCACTGATTTATTTTGTTTAATTTTATCATAATCTCAGAAGAAATAGATTAGTTATTATCATTCATACTTGAAGGTTTTGTTTTTTTTTTGGTGGAGAGTAAGTTGCTTATGTTTTATTTCCTAACCATTTCTAATAAAATAATCTTCCTTTCTTTACTGTTAGCCTGAGTTTGAAGTTGATGAAGCTGTAGCAGTGTTCATTTTCTGTCAGTCTCTCTCCATTAAAATGTTTTAAAAGATAGTTTGCTCAAGAGATAGATTTATTGTATAATTTCAGTTTGTTAAAGTTGAAAATGCATATACATTTTAAATAAAGATCGAAGATCTTCACAAAACCACTTTCTTATGAACAATCTGAAGACAATTGGGAATTTGTAACTATTTTCTCAGTTTCCTCCACACAGCAGACAGAAATAGAAGTTGTTGTAAATAATACATGCAAGAAGTCCGGTTCTACACTAGAAGAGCTATCTTTCCAAGATGAGTAGATGAGCCAAGAGATCTAAATTACATTGAAAAGATACATGAAAATGAGTATAGTTCTAAGAAGTTCCTTTTTTTTTTTTTTTTTCTAAATTATCTAAGAATGTTAGCACTTATCTTTGAGCAAGGTATCTCCTAGTTCAATGCACATGTTATATGCTAAAGGTAATATTGTGCCTCTTAGGGCAACAAAGCTGGTGAAGGGCCTGGAACACAGGTCTTATGAGGAACAGGTGAGGGAACTGGAGTTGTTCAGTTTGGAGAAGAGGAGGCTGAGGGGAGACCTCATCGCCCTCTACAGCTCCCTGAAAGGAGGGTGCAGAGAGCTGGGGATGAGTCTCTTTAACCAAGTAACAGGTGATAGGATAAGAGGGAATGGCCTCAAATTGCACCAGGGAAGGTTAAGACTGGATATTAGGAAGCATTTCTTTACAGAACGGGTTGTTGGGCGTTGGAATGGGCTGCCCAGGGAGGTGGCGGAGTCCCCATCCCTGGAGATGTTTAAGAGTCAGGTCGGCATAGCACTGAGGGATCTGGTGTAGTTGGGAACTGTCAGTGTTAGGTTAATGGTTGGACTGGATGATCTTCAAGGTCTTTTCCAACCTAGACGATTCTGTGGTTCTGTGATTCTGGGATTCATGTCTGCTGAAATATGAAGCAACAGGATAAGAAGAGATACCATGCCTACTGAGAACATACATATGTCCTGTGAACTTCAGAAGTCAAAAAAGATAAATCCAAACCAAAGCAAAGACCCATATTGCCAGTTACTGTAAAGCCAACCCAAAGAATTAATCCAAATATAATTTGATTTAACTTGCCTCATGATCCACTCTTCTCTGCCCATGCATTGCAAAAGGAAACTGTACATTGCTATTTGTTAAATGATTGTATTCCATTTTACACCAATATTTATTGTGCAGTAGACTAGAAAGAACATAAATGGGCTTTTCATACTGGGACTTCCTGCAAATTTACAGTAACCTGTAATTCATAAAAGTACTCTGATGAACAGTTTTTCACTGTTCATTCCTTTGATCTAAATTGTCCCTGTTTGCCAAAGATTGAGGTATTATGTGGTCAAGATACCGAATTTCATACTCAGCTGCAGCATAAAACCAAATAAATTCTGGAAGAGAGAAGTTATTAATTTCCATCTCAAGATAAAACACAGGTTCTGACAGTTTTTGTAAGAATTGTATATGCATACACATAAAATCAACAAAGATACTATTCCCAAAACCACCCTAAATATTCAGATTAACTGATAAGTAAATATTTCTTTGCTGTTCATTTGGTTATGGGCCGCAAATGTAAATCCATGATTCTCAGATGAGTCATTCAGAGGGTTCTGCAAACATGCTACATACCTGTGAAGAAGTTTTGATGCTTCACGCACTTGGTACTTGCCATTTAATTAATTATAATTAAACAGGCAGCTTATTTATTCATCAGCTCTGTTTCAGGGCATGGTATTCACCACTTTTCACTACCAAACCTTTTTTTTTTTTTTGTTTAAATATTGACCCCCTGTTACAGCAGTGAATCTCAGCCTTGATATCACTTCTTTTACTTAAAACTCCATCTCTTCTCCAGCTGTCTCCACAATGCATGTTATTTCCTAGTCTTGCATGGGGTCATACAAATAGATCAGTTCCTAAAGGACACTCTTCACATGTTTATTAATTTCTTTAATTTCTTCATTTCTCTCCTCAGTTCTTTCTGAAGAATATAAGTTTTATACGTAACAAATTCACACATATCAAATTAGGCGTATCACATCTTCTTCCTAAGATCAAAATTTAGGGGTATACATTAATTTCAGTATGTGGAAAAAGTCAGCAGCTTTGCTTTCTTTACCATTTCAACTTCCCAAATTACTAAAATCTCCTGCAAATCAAACAAAGAGCTGTAAAAGTAAGTTGACTGTTTATTGGTTTAAGGTATAACAATACAGCATTTCTTCTAGGGAATTGCTACAGTAAAATATACAGAAATTAGAATTACTCTTCTCTTTTGGGGAAGAAATAATTTTCCTGAAATAGGTTTTACTCACATGTGTTTGATAATATCAACATTTTACATGGACTTAAGGCTTAATGCATGAATAAATATAAGCTGAACTTAAAAACAATTATTAGACAGCACCTATCTGAGTGTTGATATCTTGGCCAAAGTATAAGACTGCCAGAGTACTATCTTTTCATAAGTTAGGAGGTGGTTGTTTTCTTTATCAGGCAGCAATTACTTTACTAAAATTAAAATCAGGAAGCAATTTGTTGCTTAAAATAAAAAAATCAACAGAGGAAGAAAACTAGGTCCATTAGTGAATCAAAATTATAATTCTCATTGTCAGGGTAATTAGTAATAAATTACACTCACCCTTTTCTCACAGAGACATTTTACCCTTTGTACCGGTCAAAATGTTTTGCTGAAAGACTTGATGCATTTTTACAAGGACATTGGAAGGAAACACATGCATTATTTTTACAAGAGGCTTTAGGAAATGCAGCAAAAACTGGATAGGCATAGAGTAGCTCCATATATTTATCTCTAAGTTATAGCTCACATCATCGAAGTTAAGCCACTGGTTAGTGAGTATGAGTAAATATGCACCACCATGAACATGTATTATATCTCTGTCTGGAAATCCAGTCCCTAGTACACCCAGGATAATTACTATAAGGAAGCCTAAATTCACTAAAATATTTTTCTTAGAAACATTCATCTTGAAGTTCTCCAAACTGCAAATCAAGGTTTTGTACCTTTGTTTTTTAACTAGATAATACAACTTAGAAGTATCATTTTCCTTAAACATGGAAGCTGCTTGTGAGACGGCTCAGTCCTGTGGCACCACAGCCAGGGAATGAAGTGAGCATGTTCTGAGACACTTTGTAAGGAAGAAAACTAGTGGCCGTATTATTTGGTTTTCCTCTCCTCCTATTAAAATCTTATTACAATGGGCTTATATACCATCCAGGTTATGTAAGAAAAATATTAGGGAAATATAGACTATATCTATCGTTAGCTGTGTTTTAGAAGAATGTAGCAAGTGGAAACAAGGAGAAGAGCCAACACCATTTGACCAGCTGCCTGTGGACCATTGGCATGTTTTCTGTGAATCTCCATTGGTTCACAGACCACAGTTTGAAAACCATTGCCATGGTATGTGAAGAACTATCTCATCTTGAAATTAAAATAGAAAAGCTTTATGGAATTTTTTCCCCTTTTGCCATATTTCTCTGAATGAGAAGACTGAAATCAGATGATATATTATAGCAACATGTAAGAATAATAAATTTCTTCTAGTGGTCCTGATGTCCAGTGTCTGGAACAAGTTAAAAACCTGCTGCAACAGCACTTTTGGATGCCATTTCCACGAATAAGCATGGAGGCACACATATAATTTCTCTGACTGAAATCTCTTTCAGGTTCTTAGACAGGGAGACTCTTTTCAGTTTATCCTTGATATCTATGGCAAACAAGTTCAGTAGGCAAAATGTTTGGAACACTTTCCACTCCTCATAGGTAGTGTATGTGTTTGACACAAAAACTAGATCTTCATACCTTCTGAATTTTCTGCAGGAAGAATTTGAATTCATCTGCCTTCCTCTTGCTCCACTACAGCTACACTCTTCATGAATGAAGAGCAGCAGGGTAAACATATTTTTTTTTATGGGTCAAATCATCCTTTGGATGATTCCTGCAAAATTCCTTAGTTATCATAAATTTTCACAAGACTTTAGATTTTTATTTCTTACTCTTCTGGAATTTTCCTCTTCCAAGTCTGCTTCATCAGACTTCTGTCTTCCAAATTCAGGTAGATAAAAACAAATTAGAGAAATGCTTCCATTATTTGGGAATATTGGCCCCTAAGTGCCTCATCTGTTAAAGCATTGGGCACTGCCACATATCTGAGGAACCTATTTCTGGCAAGCAGAGCTGTCCATAGTAGCAGCACCCTTCATGTACATTTTGTTTCAGGAATGTAAAAATGCAGCCGGGTTCCAGGTTCCATCATTCTTTTAACTTGTTTGCAGAATTTTCATGCAGAGCAAAGACAGGACATTGAGAAAAACACCTTGCTCAGAGTAATTCCTTACCAGTCATCGTAACTGTTAATATATTATATCATGCTTAAGCCCAGAGTCACCACTTAGGAGCAACACAGCATTGTACTAAGCTTCTCTAAAGACGTGTAAAGCTACAGCACAATCATGTATACAGTTTAAAAATTTCTTTGCAGATCTTCTGTTTTGTTGTAGTTGTCAGATGGAGGATAAGATATGATGCATGGAATATCATAGTTACATATGTTTTAGTTTAGTGGTTAGGGACTAGCACTTGCAGTCCTGTGGTTTCTAACATTTTTGACTCATGACCTGTGTGTATACTTGAGTCAATTGACAACTGATACCTTTTGTCTAAGCAATATGTAGCAGTAGCCTAGTAACTTCCAGATACATCAGTGAAAACCATTGGTGAAGACTGGTCCCACAGGGAAAGAAAAATACATGATTTTGGTAGAATAATTTTTAAATGGTTACCAAAAAAAAACTAGTAAGGTTTTCGTCCTGTTGCTCTGTTGACAATTCTAAGTATATACTTCAAACAGACTAGGAATTAGTTTTTCACACAAGTACCCAATATCAAGGGAAATAGTTATGTACTTTCAACAGATAATCTCTCATTTGTTTGAAAACAGGGAATTGTTAATCTGTCAGGCCACCCTGTGTTTAATGAAATTATGATCAGAGGCGCTTTAAAATGCTATGTTCATAGGGGCGTATAAAGGTAATCTCAGATGAGAGAAAACACTGAAAGTATTTTCTTCTAGGACAAAGTATCATCAGGTTTGCCTCAGATGTGAGAAGATAAGATGTTTTTGTTTAGCTCACCAATCAGTAGCCATTGCAGTCAAATTTAGAACCTTGTTCCAGGGTCAGTAGAAAGATTCTCATTAGTCTCAATGGATTTTATATGAAAACCCAGACTGGGAGTTAGAAACAGCTGGTCCATGGGATGACTATGGTCCATGCTATCATTTCCTCTATTCAAAGTCACATTTTTCTGTATTACTCCTGGATAACAGAGACCTATGTGCTATCACATGGTCTGCCATGTGTATCTGAAGGGCTTCTTTGACCCTCAACAGGGATAACAGTTCCCTTTGAGTTCCCTTGGCAAACAATTATTCAAAGTCCAGTCTGATTTCTTAAGAACAACAGATGCCGAACTTTGATCCAAAAAAAATCTTTATTTATTCTTGCTTAAGCTTCAAAGCCTCTTTTTCTCAAATATTGAGAAAAAATGAAAATTTCACTTAACAGATATGGAAAATAGTATATTCAGTATTATGTTTAGTAATTCAACACCCTACATTTCTGCCATGTCCTAGCAGTAATGGCAGTGAATCTGGGTTTTCAATTAAGTAGTAATGTAAACTTAGTCCAAAATCTGATACCACTTTGTGAAATCAGATAGTTGCAGCAGAATGTGTTATAACTGCTCTACATGTCAACCTCCCCTACAGGTGTGACATTAATCTTGTCAACTGGACATGAGTGCCATTCTGAGGCTGAAGTATACACACACACACACACACACACACACACTCTCACGGTGTGGTCATTCTCCTGTGAGAGTGACATGAGCTTGTTGGTCTCTTATTTCTCACTGAAACCCATTGTGTACTGCTTCCTGTTCAAGTGTAATGGTTTGTAACGCTGTCTGCTTTGATATGATCTTATTTACTTCATGTTATCATCAGTAAACTTTATGTGGAAGACACACAACAATCCTTTGAGCAAATAATTGGCTGTGGCTTATACCTTTCAGCTGAAAAACTATAAAAGGGCAGCAATACTATTTGGCGTAATGAAGAGAAAACATTCATAGTGTGTTGATGGGGTAGAAAAGGAGAAAGTTATAATCTTAATTTTAAAATTGAGACTTTAAAAAGGTACTTTTAATACAATGGAAGGGAAATTATATATTTTCAGCACAAGAGGTGGAACAACACATTGTTACATATACCATGTCCTCCAGGAGTGGAAATGGCCCGCACAAGTTCTCTTACGGATGCATACCAGTTCTTCGTTCTTCAGGATACTCAGTGAACTTCAATAGCAGTCAGTGTACTGGTCAATTATGCAAATATGAAAAGGTTAAGGTAATTTGTTCATTATTATGTAGTTTGAGGAGTTTCTTTGGAACATTTTATGAGCCTATATGGATTTTTAAAAGTTCATTGCCTATGTAGAATCTACAACATCAGGAGAGAAAATTCTCATCTGTGGGCCTGTAAATTAGAACTGTGATGTAAAATATATTCTCCAAATTAGTTTCCTGCATAGAGAGAACAAAACTGTTGAGCCTTTAATCATTTAATTTATGCCAAGGACCTATACAGGGATATGCAAGCACTGAGTATTAATATTCCATTTCACTGCAGCTGCAATTTCCAGGTATGTGAAAAAGTAACATGTTGAAAAATAAAAGTTTACTTTTGTATTTTCTAATTTATGTATTTACAGATAGGAAAAACAGGTGCTTATCTGCAGTTCCTCAGTATTTTGTCCCGAATGCTGATTAGACTGACAGAAGTGGATGTTTATGATGAGGAAGAAATCAACATTAGTAAGTACTTGATATAAAAGCATTTGCTTCTGGTGACTATAAATGGTTATGTTAAATTGAAACGTAGTTGTCTGTATATTCTATGCCATTTACCTTTGCAATTAATTTACATTACTGAAATATTTAAAGAAAATTTTTGTGTGATCTTCAACTGACACTTAAGAATATTTTATTATTTCACTCATCGTTTAGAGTTTAGTCTTCCTCTCAGAAAGAAAACCACATACTTCTGTTTTTCTTGGAAAATAATAAACAACATTTATGTATATTAAATGATATCCAGACATTAGGTTTGAGTTTAGAATTTGAATGAGCTTTTGTGGTAAACTATATCAAAAGAATCAGTGAAATTATGACAGATTTATACCATGAGGAGCAATGTCATATTTTCTGAGTACACAAGTCTACATGATGGAGGAAAACTGTTCCTGCTCCCTAATAGCTAATTTTAGCCCAAACTTCCTTTATTTACAGTATATTACTCCCCTGTGTTTCCAGATGTATTTCTGTAATTAAGGGCTGGATTACATAGAAAAATATGGGTGATATTTTATGGGATATGTCTAATTCTGCACTAAAAGCATGCCCACAGTCAGCTGTAGAGACATACTCAGGTGGGTGCTACCTGCCTAGTGTCTCCATCAGACCTTTGCTGGAAGCTGTTCAGCCATTTTACTGTGGGACTGTGCCTCTGCTCTTGTCTCTGAGGGCAGTTTGGGGCAGTACCCAGAAGTCTTCCTCCACACAGAGCTGTGCTTGAGAAAGAGACATCTTGGTTTATGGCAAAACCTGTGGAAAAGGTGACCAGTCTGATGGGGGAGAGGTTTGTGCAAGCAGTCCTTTGTATTTCAGGCAGGTTTTCAGAGATAACTCAGTCAGGGCATGAAGATAATTTCAATATCTGACTAATTCCACATCAGTTTCATACTTTGGGTGCCAAAAGTCAGGATCCCACCTGTTGTAAATAATAATTTAGTTTATACTCATAGACATGGAGTTATGGCCCTTTACAGCAGCTTACAGATGACCTCCAAACTGAACTCCTCACTACTGTCCATTTTACTTTTGTCAGATCTTCCATCCTCTTGACAAAAGTAGAAAAGTATTTTGTAAGGACTTGTGTACATCTGGGTTTTTATGTCAGTCAACCTATTTCAGAAAAAGTCATGATTTCACTGCGCATTATGCCAATACCATTTACTATTTTTCTCTTACCCTGAAGTGAATTATCTTTGATTACTCTGGTCTTACCACTAGAAGGGGCATTTGACTTTAACTCTACACTGTACTTAATACTGCAATTTCTGAAGCTTTAGAAGGGCTTCTTTTACTCCGTGAGAGTAACATATCTTTCCTGAACTGAGTTCACAAATGTGGTGGTCAGTGGAAAGACTCCAAATGCCTGAATGCAGGAAGATTAGCCTTACTAGACTCTTGACTTTGTTTTCTTCATAATACCACCAACTGCTCCAGTAAGATTACAGCGGTCTTAAATTGAAAACAAAGGTTTAAAAGCCAGAGTTGCGTTGAGGTATGAGGTACATTTGTTCAAAAGTGTACCTCTAGATGCATCATATTTCTTCCTTAGAATGGTGAAAGAAAACAGGTTGCAGGAATAGTAGGCGTAGCAAAAACATCTACAGGAGTGTGAAGAGCTTTAAAAACTGTAATTACATGAATTCTTATTTTTCAATAATATCATAGACATAAAAGAAGAATCTGATCAATACTACCATCAACCTGGAGATACGTGGCCAGATTTGGAGACATTTAAGAAGATGCCTTTTGACTACACTATCCATGACCCTAAATATGAAGATGCAAGCCTGATTTGTTCAAAACTTCAAACTATAAATAGTGAAGGTTAGTATTTGAAAAATCTAGATTGGTACACATAAATGTATTTATTTGTTTTTAATGTGAGAATCCTGTTAAACATTTAAACTGAGTGAAATTATCAGAATTGCACTTGACTAAGTAATAGTGAAACAAGATTTGAAGTTTGTCAGATGAAGCACCAAAGTATAAGGCTTATAAATGTTTCATGGAATATTATATAGGTAGTCTTTCATTTATAAAGCTCTGTTTCCACATTAAGTCTGTGCATTTAAATGTTCTTATGTAGTAGCATTATCCTGCTCTGTAGCAATGAAATGACTTATGTGAGTAAAGTTAATTATGTACTTAAAAGTGTTTATAGGTTTAGTTTTTAGGTTTTGGTTTAAGTTTAGAAAGCATGAGATGCATATGTCCAGATGTAGATTCATGGAGTATTGAGGTGTGAGTTAGTCCTTTGAATTAGCCAGCTGGTCATACACAAGCCCACAGGACTGGGTAGGATGTATCCAAGCATGCTGAGGGAGCTGGCCAACATCTTTGTGAGGCTACTGTCTGTCATTTTTAATAAGTAACAACAATTGGTGGAGGTTCCTGATAGTTGGAAAAAGGAAAATGCCATGCGCTTCTTCTACAGGACAGAAGGAGTATCAAAGCAATTACAGCCTAGTGAGCCTACCCTCAGTCCCCAAAACAATTATGGAACAAACTCTCCTGTAAGCCATGTCCAGACCCATGAAGGACAAGAAAGTGATTGGGAGCTGCTAGAATGGATCTATCATAGGCAAATCATGATTGGTAAACGTGATTGCATTTTATGATGAGATGACTGGCACTATGGACAAAGGAAGAGCAGTGGTTTCATCTTGACTTCAACAAGGCTTTTGTCTCTGTCTTCTATGACATCCATATAGCCAAAACTGGAGAGAGATGGTTTGGATAGGTGGATTGTAATGTGGGTGGGAAATTGGCTGGACCACTGAACTCAAAATGTGATGAGTGGCACAAATCTGACTGACAGCTGGGTATTCATGACAATACAGATAGAGAGACTGATAGGCAAATGCCATTTAAGATTGCCATTAATAGCCTGGTCAAAGGGACAGAATGCAACATCAGCACGTTCATGGATGATATCAAATTAGGGGAACAGTCCATATGCAGTAAGGTAGCACTGCCATTCAAAACCACCTTGACAGGCTGGAGGAATGAAATCTCCAGGGAGGAACCTCATGTAATTCAACAAAGATAAATCCAAGATCTTACACTTGTCCAAGCCTGGGGCCAGCTATATAGACAGCAGCTTTGAGGAAGGTGACCTGATGATCCTGTTAGGCAACAATTTGAACATGAATCACCAGTTCTCCATTGGGTTAGTGGCTTACTAAAAATCTAGCAAGCAGGGAAGTGATTTTTCTCCTATGCATGGCACCTGTAAGACCACATCTGGAGTATTCTGTCAAGTTTTTGGCTTCCCAGTGCAAGAAAAACATTAACATACAGAAGTGAGTCTAGCGGGTAGCCACTAAAATGGATAGAGGCCTGAAGAACGTGACATAGATAGAAAATAGAAGAGAATTGGGATTGTTTGGTTTGGAGAAGTCTAGCAGGGGCATCTGATTGCTGTCTTCAACTTCTGAATGGGAATTTATAGACACAAACTACCAGAGATACACAACATAAGGACAAAAGACAACAGACACAAGTTGCAACATGGGAAATTACAATTAGATAGTGTGAAAAGTATTTCTAGAATAAAAGTGGTCAAACCCCATGGAGCAGGTTGCCCAGAGAGACTCTGAAAACTCCACTCAGTGATTTTCAAAACTTAATGGAACAAGGAATGACTCTGAACAACTTGATATGATGCTGCAAATCTGAGTGAAAGGTTTGGTCAGATGACATAACAAAAGTCCTTTCCAGCAGAAATTTTATCTCATCTTCCTTCTCTCAAAAAGGAGACCTTTTTTTTTTTTTTTTTTTTTTTGCAGCAGCAATAAATTTACCAAGTTAATTTCACATATTCTACTGTGATGTCCTCCACAGGATGACAAATGTCTGTTATAAGACTGTTTTTTATTATTTACTGCTTTTACAAGCATTCAACCAATAATAGTGACAGCAACAATAATTTTAATATTCTGGCTTTGTTTCCACTTTAGCTTTATGTGAAATCTGTACAGAATTATCATAATCATGAATTTGCAGATACTTCTTTGTAGTCCCCTTTACTGTACATAACAATTTATAAAACATACTATGCTCAGAATGAATTCATAATTTGTTTTGCATGTGTTTAATCCTGCCATTGTTCCTAGAAGCAAATTACAGTGACAGAAACAGTTTGTCACAAGGGAATACAGTCTAGTCTTGAATATATGTTACATTTAAGGTGTTTTTTTTTTTTTTTTTTTTTTGAGACAGGATGATATGTATACACGCCGGCAAACAACTAGGATGAGATTGTCCAAGTATGCAGCATATAACACCTACCATCACTGTGAACAGTGTCATCAGTATATGGGTTTCAATCCCAGGTACCAGGTAAAGATTTCCAGATATTAGTCTGCAGATCGGAAACCAAAGCAGACACAACCCAAACATAGTTTTGTGTGCATTCACTTGTATTTGAATTGGCTTAGAAGTTGTATGTATGTATTAAAAGCAGTTGATCTACGGATTTTTTTATTTCTTGAGGTTTGCCTTCCTTAACCAGACTGCAGGTTTGAGAATGTCCGAGGATTGATCCTTGCCTCATTTACACTAGTGTATTCACTGCTGTAATCTTCATTGTACATGTATACTACCCATTAAAACTACTTTCCCAGTAAGCTTTTCCCACTGGGACTTGTTCACATTTTCACCTGAGTCACTGCAAAAGATGTGACTTCTGATAGAGGAGTAGCCCAGCATAGATTAGTCTATATGTGGCATAGAGACTGATATTATTCAGAGTAAGTTTCTAATTTCCCGCCTATTAGAATCTGAGGAAGAAGGTATTAGCAATGCAAATACTGGGTTTTATGTGTATTTCTGAAAGCCAAGAGTGTTCTGTAAGTATTGGTATTATCTGCAAGACGAAGCTGAAACAATGGTTTCAAAAGAGGGAAGAGTTTAATTTACAATTTTCTTAGTGTATGCCCTAGCCAAGGGGCATTGCTTAACACCTCATGAAGCATGAGGTAAAATATAATGCAACACAGTAAGTGATTGTAGCCTTTTTGTTAATGTTATAAATGTGTATTAACTACACTGAGACCTTGTAGTTTGACTCTAACCACTGGAATTATCCTATTTTTTCCCATCCTCAGCTTTATGAATCTACTCTGCATGCATTTGCCTTTTCCTATTCTATGCTGGGAGAAGAAATCCAGCTGCATTTTATCATTCCAAAGTCAAAGGAGCATCATTTTGTCTTTAGTCAACCAGGAAGACAATTGGAAAGCATGAGGCTACCACTAGTCACAGATAAGGTAGATGGATAATTATATTTATGGCCATATATGGGAGAGAGACACCACCAATTTTAAAATTTGGTGAATTAGCATTCTTTACACTTCTGGTCCTGCTGTCAAGAGATAATGAAGATATCCTGATACTAAGTTTGTATTTTCTCCCGGAAAGGGAGACATGAAGCAAAACTGTCAAGTCACCAATAAGCTGTTTCTTTTGCTCATTATCAAGGATGATCCTTTGGTATAAACACTCTCTTATCTGGGGTAAAAGGTCTTCGGTTATGGGTTTAAGATGTTAAAGTGAGAGTGGTTTCAGCAATGAGCCTGAGAGACATGGGGTTTTATCATACTAAGAGGAATCAATTTTTTATTGTAGAGGAAGGCAGTGGATTATTCTGTTTTATTCTGCGTAAATGCTCAGTTGCCTTCATATAAAAATAAGGCTTTCAAAGAATCTTTGAAATGGCTTCAAGACTGTCCAAAGAATCACATCACACTTGTAGAAAACACTTTGTAAGGTCATCCATCTGACAGACTGTGCAAACTCTGATGTTGACCTTTACAGTGATTCCTAATATCCTTGTCTAAGATGAAGCTGTGCCTTGCTCAGGCCACACTGCTTGGAGTATTGAAGCAATTTGTGGAACAGCAGTAAGCATTAGCACTCCTATCTTTGAGAAAATAAGCTGCTTTTAATAAACAGTAATCAATCAATACCACCCTCCAGTTTGGGTTCTTATGTCCAGTTCAAGTTTGAAACAAGAGAACCCAGGAATCAACATAGCAGCAGCTGTGCAATGTGAGGATGAAACCTCCTGCTCTTCCTTAACCCAGTAAACTTGTGCTCGGCTATGCAGTCAGAAGTGTGCACTGGGTCCTTGTGGATTCTTTTCTCGCTTTGGCCACTGACCTGCTTTGAGGCTTTGCCAAAACTATTTATTTTTCCTTTGCTTCTTTTTCTGTTCACTTGCTCCAAAATGGTGCCTGCAATCTTGCTGAAAGCTTGAAAAGTGCTGTGGGATATAGACCTAGATTATTAAACCATTATAAAATATTTTTCTTGATCCACTTTAAATTCCCTTTCATGAACTCCATCGGCATCAAATCCATCATTTCGTGCTTTGGCAGTTTTAAATCTGGAGTGCTTAACTGTGAGGGCTTTTAAGAGTCTCTGTAAAGAGTCACACTTTCATTCTGGGTCCTTAAGGACCTTGGTAGAAACCAGGCTAAAATCAGTTGCCCAAGTCCTGGATGTCTATAGAAACAGAGCTTTCAGAAGCTGTACTAAGCAAACTTGGAAGCACCTAGTGAGTTTCAGTGCATTCAAGATTGGGTGATAGCCAGTCAGAAGGGTTGCACTGCAGTTTTGGAGTAAGGTTTTCCTTACCATCTTAAGTCATATGGACCTAAATCCTTTTACAGATCTAGCCCCAAGGTCCTTGTGCACTTTCAGGTCAAGATGAGCTGTCTTAACCAGTCTACCACACTCTCACCACTCAACTAAGCAAAGTGATAGAGTTTTCTTTTTCCCAACTCTTATAAAAGTTTTTTTTCCTATTAAGCTGATTTAAAATGTAGCAGTTTGTCCCGTGGCAGTGAATCTGATTTATTCTCCTGAAGGATCTGATTCTCTTTATTTAAGCATCACAGAAACTTGCATCTCTTTTCATTTACAGAGTGAGGATTACATAAAAAGCCCTACTTTTACTCCCACCACTGGTCGTCATGAACACGGACTTTTCAATTTATATCATGCAATGGATGGAGCCAGTCATTTGCATGTTTTAGTTGTCAAGGAATATGAAATGGCCATATATAAGAAGTATTGGCCCAACCACATCATGCTTGTTCTTCCAAGCATTTTCAACAGTGCAGGAGTAGGTAAGTATAACAAAAGGTTCTAACAAATGCAGACATACAACTTGGGCCCTTGAGGCGATGTTACTTAACAGTGGCATGTAGACACACACCTTGTAGCTAACATATCTGATCTGGTGATCTGGATTCTCTTTGAAAACAATGTGTCACAGTTGAAGATACAATTCACTTAATCCAGGTCACCTAAATCAAGCTAGATTATTTATACCCTAGAAATATTTACTCTACTGATTTTAAAGGGATCTGAGGTTGTTAACTCAGATGGAATTACCTACTCTGTTTCCTTGTGGAAATAAGTTATGTACTATTTGTATAGGCAGTGATGCACTGATTAGGTACATCTCTTAGCACCTTGCTTTTATTGCTAGTACAATTTAAGAGACAGCAGTAGCGACCAACATTCAAAGTAGATTGTCAAGGGAAATTGTTCCCATGTTATTCAGTTGGTCAGTCAACATCTCTAGATGTTTGCACTGAGATGCTAGTGGAACTAAATATCAGTCAAGTCAAAAGAATCAGTTGCTAAACCCTTAAGACGCTAGTAAATCTTTGCCACAGAAGTCAGACTTCAATTTGTCTGCTTTCCAGCAGGGTCCTATGTCACTTGCTGGGCAAGAGAAAAAGTAAATTCGCCCTGGGGAGTGTTACAATGTGTGCTGGTTTAGGCCCCGCCGGGACCGGAGACCACATTGCTGTGGTCCCTCTCCCACCCTCGAACCGAGTAGGGCACAAACCTCAGGGTTGAAATAAGGAAAGATTTAATACAATAGTGTAATAAATAACAATCTGAACAGCAACAATAACAATAATAACAACAATAAACAGTAATAACAGTAAACAAGACAAAAGATATACAGAGAAATACTGCAATGGACACAGCCAGCCCGTCGTGCGTGCTTCCCTCAACCAAAGCCACAAAGAAAAGCTTCCTGCGCTGTGCCAGACCTGACATCACCATGGTATGAATAACCAGGCTGGAGATCCCTTCCCCCTGCTGGGAGAAACTTAACGCTATCCTAGCTGAACCAGGACACAGTGTTAAAACCTTCAGAGTAATTCATACCCTAGTCTACAGAAATATTCACTTCAAAAGGCTTCCAAATTAAAAGCAAACAATTTCTGCTCCTATTTTTAATCTGATGGATTATGTCCTTGGTTTCAGGTGCTGCACACTTCCTGATAAAAGAATTGTCTTATCATAACTTGGAGCTTGAACGAAATCGGCAAGAGGAGCTGGGGATAAAACCCCAGGATATTTGGCCTTTCATTGTCATTTCAGATGACTCCTGTGTTATGTGGAATGCAGTAGAAGTTGATTGTTCAGGAGACAGGAAAAGGTAAATAGGGTAATACATGGTTTTGCAGCTGATCTCTTTTAACCTTTCACTGTATGATGTACTACAACTTTTACCCTGTACAAGCAGAGAATAATATTTGCCTAATGAGAGAAGTGTTTTCCCTAGGTATCTGTCTTTGCATGGCACATAGTTTAGTGCCTGTTTTTCATTCCTGTCCCCTGGCGATGTAAGTGCCCTGCAGCTTTTGCTGTATAGCTTGAATGCAGTTCAGACTAAAGTTACTTGAACTGCAGATTTCAGACTCTGTAAACAATCCCTGATACCCTGGGCGAGCACGGGCATTCACATGTACATTTTTAACAGGCTTTTCTAAGGAAGCTAAAAGACATTTCTGTGCAAACTGTGCAACTGATTTCCTGTGGCTCTTTTGTCAGTCCCAGTCTGTATGGCTCATTTATTAGCTCCCCAAATCCCCAAACAAGTGGTTTTGTTTTCATTACTTTAGAACATTGTTTGTACTAGATATTTTTATCTATTCCCATAATGGTACTATGCAGGATTTAAGCAAAAGTTCAAAGAGAACTAAACTCAGTGAAAACCAAGATTTATGGACCCTAGGGGTGGGCTAGGAGGATCTTATACTTTGCACTTAAGTTATGGCATAAAGTCAGCAACCCTCACAGAGTAATTTGGAACATTATCCAGGTAACTTTAAAGGTTTACATATTTGAGTGAATATTTTGAAAGAACCAGACAGTTTCAGATCTGTCACACCAGTGCCCACTACATAAGCCCTGGTTAAATTTAAGTTTTGTTTAGAGTGAGAGACAACAAGTTGCAGTAAAGACAACACTGAAGTTATCTACCTGATATTCATAACTACTTTTGACTGTTAAGTATTGTCTTCAGCTGAATGAGATTCTGAATATCCTCTCTATACTGTAACACATTTTTATAATTATTGTAGTGACTATACATGGACTGAAAGGAATGTTTCCTTGAAGCAAATTCTGCAACATATTGAAGCAACTCCTAATGTCACTCACTATGCCTTAATTGGGATGAGGAAATGGTCTAGTAAAACAAACAGAGCCGAGATCAAGGAGCCATTCTCCTGCTGCCACGTGCATGATTTCATTATGCTGAATGTTGATCTGACACAGAATGTACAGTACAATCAGAACAGGTAAGTGAATAAGTGGCATCTTTCAAAAGAGACAATGAACCAAATAAGGGAAGTTTTACAAAATTTCTGGTTGGTTTTTTTTGGAGAGGCTGTTAATGGGATGCAGACAGATTTTGTTTTCTTGCTGATGGTTCAAATCCTTCCCAAATTGCCAGCAGCTGCAAAAAGACTTTCATTTCCATGCTTCCAAATAAAATACTCATATTTGAATTACAGGGTAGACACACTCAGCAGTGTGCCCTGCAGTATTGGCTCCCCAGTCGCACAGTCCAAGTGGCCTTTTGGTAAACACTGTACTTCCCCTCCTGCCCGCTTAGCTGCACTCCCCTCCAAAGGTAACAGGGGTGTATGGGTGAATGGTGCATAACCAAGTCTTGTTATGACACGGAATTGAGATATAGCTGGGCTTTTTGCCCTGAGTAGCACATCACCGGAGCATACTGCGTGTGTGCTCGTCAGGACAATCAGAAGAAATAAATAAATAAACCTCGTTAATGTCGGTAGTTGTTTCTCACATTCAGGTGTCTCAGAAATCCCACTTTTTTTTTTTTTTTTTTTCTTTTTTTTTTTTCATTTATATTATTTTCATTTCATTATTATCCATAGGATAAATCAGATTATAATACACAGTATCTGCACAGTTACTAGGACTGTATCCACTAGGTATATCATCTCACAGAATTTCACTGATCTATGTCTAATAAACTGTGGGTTTGACCCCATTTCTGAGGGACAAGTATTTATTACAACCAAATGAAGTAGATATCACTAGAGGTGGGATTCACTTGTCTAAAGCTGGTCTTTAGACACCACAGAAGATGCAAGACGTCCATATGGGGCTGACAGGTATGACATGAAATCTATATGTGGTTTTTTGTAAGTTAGGTGGGATACCCCAGGCAGTCTAAAATGGCTCTACACACCTAGACTTAGATAACCGAACATCAGCCACTGTACTTCTCGGAACTCTCCTATCCCAGGAAGATGTCTTTTGAACTCTGAGTTTACTTATAACTGCAGGGAAGCACTTTTGCTTTCATTATTCTGTAGATAAACAGATGACCTAAATTTCTACCATCACCAGCTTGACACTTTAAAGGAGCATTTTGAACTTGTTCTCGTGCATGTTCTAGTACAGAACTCTGCTCCCAGGCTATCTAACTGTATTACCTTATGAAGCATTATGAAGGGCTAATGAAGAGAACAACAACAAAGCAAAATGATATGAGTACAGGCAGCAATGCTAAAATGTCAGAAATGCCAGATCACACCACCCGATTCCTGCCTGTGTCTTTAAACCATGTGTGGCTCACCATAACCCACTGTGTGGGTGCTGCCAAGACTGAAGTATTGTATGACATTCTGAGCCTGGGCTGGCAAGGAAAAAAGTATGTTTTAAAACACAGAGACATTGACAGTCATGGATACCAAATATCCAAGTAATTATTAGTAAGATCAAATACAAGATTTTTAAAACCTTTAATTAAATGCCATGTTTCTCACTGATGTCGACCGTTGGCAGTCAGCTGTTGTTCAGCTCTCTTAAATCCCTGGATGTTAATCCAATGGTTCTGCACATCATCCTGTTTGCTGTGTGATACATACATTCAAAATGGAGAACTTTTTTCCAGAGGCCAGAGTATTTGAATTTAGTCAGCTTTAGAAGTTTACCTTTTATTCTGTTCCATCTTATTTTTAAAATGGGTCAAAGTTAGCTCAGGGGTGTTTGACCTCATTCTGCTTAATTTATTCCTGTCTCAGTAGTTCTGTTGTATTAAGAAAAGACTTCTAGTCTTCAAATAGTTTTTGTCTCTAATTGCATTCTAAGGGAAAAATGAGTAGTCACAGACCTCTGTGCATTTGACAAATCAAATGTAGGGCCTCATCCATTTCTGTGGAGGCCAAAAAATATAATTTCTTTGACCTTATTTGGGGTAGTAACGTATGTAGCTATGACTGCATTATTGTACTAAAAAGAAAATATTTTAACTCCTAGGTCTTTTCCCTGGCAATTTATTACCTTTCTCCTTCCCCTTTCCTCAGTGTTTCTGGTCCTTTCCCTAAGTGGTTCCTTCCCTCATTCTGATCTTGTTGAACTTATTCTAGCCTAGTTTATTATTACAAAGCTGAAGTCTCTTTCTCTGGTTGATAGGCACTGGTGAAGCGTCAGTATGTTTGACACCTGTCCTTACTACAGTGACCAAAGCCCCTGAGTGCTTGTATTTGTTAGTATGTGATGAGAAACATTCATCTGAACTGCTATGATTTTACTTTTTCCAGATTTACATGTGATGATGTTGACTTCAACTTGCGTGTCCACAGTGCTGGCCTTCTCATCTGTCGTTTCAATCACTTCAGTGCCATGAAAAAGCAAATTGCAGTAGGAGGACAGCGATCCTTCCACATTAAGTCTAAGGTGGGAACTGAGACCTCTGTTTCATTGTTGTTAAAATTCTGTTTTCCTTTTTTGTACTCTGTAACCAAGATAGCTGAGGTATTTTGGTGCATCACCAGTTGCCAGTAATGGGGTATGTCTGCCATGTGTTGGGTTTTTTAATATTTATTTCTGAAATCCACAATATTCTTGACATCAATGCACCTTTCCTTAATCATGTTCCTTTAAAACTATTAAAAAGACCTAAAGTGTCTCTTACAATCCAAGTAAGCATTTACTATGAGTTTTTTATCTATTGCTATTGAATTGCTTATCTTCATATGACTTCATATGTAGGAGTATGGGTTCTTTGGGTTCAGAGAAACCTCAAAGACTCCATAAATACAAATATAATTCTGTGAAACTGAAACTTTTTTAGTAGCAGATATTTTTAGCTGAATGACTTTGCTTCTTACATAAATCTTAGATTTGTAGGATTGAGATATATTTTATACAAACCAAAATTCAGAAAAGTACAACTTGATTGATCAGGATTGATCTATATCAGAAATATTTTTTCCTCATAGGTATCTGACACTCCAGTTTCAATCTCCCCTGCTCAGTACATTTGTGCTCCTGACAGCAAGCATACCTTCTTGGCAGCACCTGCTCAGTTGCTCCTTGAAAAATACCTCCAGTATCACAGCCATCGCTTCTTCCCTCTCTCACTGAAGAATTATAGCCATCCAGTGCTATCTGTGGACTGTTACCTTAACTTAGGACCACAGGTACTGACAAAGTTATCTTCAAGCAGCTCTAGAAATGTATAGGCTGTTTTGGATGAGTTAGTTGATGCATTCCTTAATAATAGTTAGGATCAGGTATTAGATCTATATAAGATTAAAATCGAATTCTTGGTCCTATAGACATATTATTAGAGGCTTCAAGTAAAATATATGGAGAACAATACCAGAGTTGTCCTAAATACTAATATAGTCTGTGAATTATATTAGATTCTGAATTAACACAGAGCACACTTTTAATACTCAGCACAGAGCTGAATGTTTTCTCAGTCCGCTGTAATTTGGCCCTTCCTACAGCAAATTTCTTCCACAAGAGTGTTTTACAAATACTAGCTAGCCCTTAGAAAGCACTTCAAAACACAAACGGTTTATTTCACTTTTGACTGATAAGCTTGAGGCAGAGAAGCATATACCAAGAAAACAGTGAGAATGGGAGAAGCTGACATTAGATCTCAGGAGCTGTTGGCTCTCTCTGATGTTTGGATCTAAAGCCAAGGTCATGCTTAAACTCAAATGTAGGTTAGATAGAAGTGTGATACTAAGGTGGTGTGGTTCAGGAGAGAGAAACCCTTCTACCTTTTCACCTCACTTGAATACTAAATGAAATTCAGTCTTGCTGGATTTACCAAACTTCTTTATCAAAACAGGTGTGTAATGACCTTCCCATATATACTGCTTCTAGAACATTTTGAAGTATATTTTTAATTTCCTTTCTGGATGAGCTCATAGAGGTCTATGTTCCCACCATGTTTGGAAAAACAAACTCTGTGGAAGGGCACTGTACTCTTACTGTCATCACCCATAGCATCCTTTCAACTCTAACCCAATCAACACGTGAAATGACTTCAATTCTGTTCTGGAACTGTTACCTGATCTGGAATATAATACAATAGGATTGAAGGAATATGGATAAATATAGGCATCCTAGGCCAGAGTCTCAGTTGCTGTGGGTCAACCTTCCTCCATTGAATCATACTGATTTATGCCAGGTGAGGGTCTGCCCCAACTAAGCAGTAGAATGGCACTTTGTAAACAAAGCCTTGTGTGGAAGATTCCTTAATTTAAATTTATAAATTCTGAAAGAATGCTATAAATATTCCCAGTGCCTAGTCGATTTGGGGACCAGCCTTGAAAAAAACTTAGACAAGACAAAACCTTATGCATTTATGTATATGCACACCTCTACTGACTTGACTAATCCTATTGTAATGGAAATTAAATTAGTAATTTCTAAAGGGTTCTTTTCATGTCTGACTGCACAGTTACTATATTTACTCATGTGTAGATAAACTGTTGGGTAGGTCACAACGTTATAGTTGTGAGGAGCTATTGTTACTGCAGCTTTCAAACCCTCTCACATCTAAACCTCATGATAATAATAGTAATATGTAGTAGTGACTAACACATAGTTATGAATAGTGCTTTTATGTAGATTTTTAATAAGTAGAGGGATGTTTTGGAAGGATCTACAAAGATCACAATATTTGGAGCTGGAAAGCAACTCTGAATTTCAATTGGGTGCAACTACTGAAAGCTTGGGATCGGGTCTTAGCTTTACATAGAAGGTTGAAAAATGTTAATTCTTTTCCCCCTCTCCCAATCAGATTGCAGTTTGCTATGTGAGTTCTCGGCCTCACTCTCTGAATATCAGTTCCTCTGGTTTGACATTCAGTGGTCTCCTGCTATACCTCTGTGACTCCTTTGTTGTAGCCAGCTTTTTGAAGAAGTTTCATTTTCTTAAAGGTGAGCTGCAATAATTTTATTACAGAGAATTACATGACCTGGTCTCTGGAAATCTGGGGAAAAATGTATTTTATATGAAAATATACGTGCATATATATGTATATGCATGTATTCATATTTGTCTTTATACGTCCCACCCATCTTTGATGCTTGATCAAGCTGGCTCTGTACTATAGTAAACTGGTATATAACAGTGCCGTAAGTTCTGCAGATTTCTAAGTGGGGGAGGAATGTTGAATCCATATCATTATGCCTAGTGTTTATGCACAACTCCTTACTTTATATTTGAAAACTGAGCATTTAAGGTTTGTGTAGGAAGCGTTTACCTATTTTGTTCTTGCAGGTTTTCTAATTTTTGACAGAAAATGGGTGATGGGCAACACTCCATCAAAACCTATCTACTATCCTTGGAAACAGAAGCTGGCTCATTTAAAATGTATTGCCTAACAACCAGTTTCATCATGTTGTCCTTGTGATGGTGGATAGCAGTGGAGACAACTTCCATTTGTATTGCAGGCAGTCACATTGCAAACTGCTTTTGTCTTGTTCTGCTACTAACAGGCATTTAGCACTCTGGGGATTTGTTTCACTCAAACTATAACCGTCACGGGAGGAAGAACACCGAGGCAAATGCCTTCCTGAAACAGGCAGAGTTGTTATTAACTGCTGTGTTCTTTGTTGCAGTTCATACAGGTTCATGTAGGTATGTGTAGCAAAGTGCAGATTGGGGTACACAGTGCTTTTATCTGCAGCCACATGAGTGACACTGCCTGTGCTCATTTTGGAGCATGTCCACCTTTTAATTAGCCTTTAGTTTCTCTAACAAGGCTATCAGACTAACTGCAAATGAAAGCAGTGCTTTTGTACTGCATTTTTTTGAGTGACCAGGGGCTATCAATAAGTTTCATTCTGCATAAACCAAACAATTTTTATAGTGTGTAGAACTAAGTGTATTTTATTCGGGATTTCTCCATCTCCCTTGGCACTCTACTTGATTTTTCTAACCTACCACATGAACATTAAACATCACATGACTGTGTCTGGTTTCTTTTATTATATTCTCAGCTTTTTCTTTCTTGTCTTGGGCATTTCCAGTTCATTTTATTCAGATTATTGAATGCTGGCGAGGTAATTGTTTCCTCTTAATTGAGCACTTTTCTCAGAAGCCAGGAAATCATGCATGCAAGTTAAAATGGTATCAGCAAGCCAGTCAGTTGATATTGTTTACTGAAGTATGATATTTCTTACTTTGGCATTCTGGATTCACCCGTGTCCATGGCCATACAGACCAGATTCTTCTTTGACAGCACATTAGTCTACCAATCCAAAAAGTTTGAGTTTTAAGGACATGTTTAGACAATTTCTGGTCCACAGAACTCAAAGAGCTTAGGCAGCCTTCGTGGTGATTGACTTGTGGTGTAAGTATTTTGCTAAGTGAGGTTTTCACTCAACAAGGTAATGATAGTAGGGCTAGAACAGTAATGGATGTAGGGATGTATCTTGTTTTCTGCCAGGACTCATCACCACCTGCTTAGACCTGACAGTTTTACCCTTTCTTACCTTAAAGAGTAGAGAATATATTTTTAATCTTGTTTACTAGATGAATAAAAGATACCTCAAGTTACACAAGAAGATCCTGATAAATGGGGAGCTGAACATAGCTCTCCTTCAATCCTACACGAGTGTCTTAATTTTCTCACAACCCCATTTGTAACTCCTGTTGTGATAGTGGTGTAGTTCTACATGTGAAGAGGTAGTGGGAGTCGGGTGATCTGAGAACAAGGAATGGATACTCACATGCATTTCTTTTTAACTCTTTGCTTAGGTGCCACCCTGTGTGTGATTTGTCAAGATCGCAATTCTCTTCGCCAGACTGTTGTCCGACTAGAGCTGGAAGATGAATGGCAGTTCCGACTGCGGGACGAATTCCAGACTGCCAATGCAAAAGAGGACAGACCACTTTTCTTCCTGACTGGACGACATATTTAACTAAAAAGAGACACATCCTGAATTATACAAGAGACTGATTGTCACCATCTCATTAAATGACTTCTGAGACTCTCTGGTTTCTGAACAGAAGCAGGACCGTTTGTCGTTGTTTATTCGAATGAAATCTAATCAAACTATTTATGCGCATATTTCCAAACTTTGAAGTGACTTTTCTAATTTAATTTTCTGATGGAAGTCATTCCTAATTCTTGGGAGAGATGCAAAAGCTTACTACTCCCCATGGCAGAAATAATTTTGGATCAGAAGGGAGGTCAATGGGTGCATTTCTTCTGTGACAAAAAACCCCACATCCAAGTTCATAAGCAAGAATTTTAGAAAACTTTTGGTACATTCCAGAAATAGGAAATGTAAATTTAGGAGCATATTTGATTTTACAAGTCTTATTTATCTAACAGTTGGCACAAGGCAACGGGAATTGTTACAGTTTTGTAGTATACTGCTACTGATTGATCCAGGTAGGCTTTTATATGAAGATTTGTAAAGTATATTTCTTGAATAGTGAGAACTCAGTTGGAACATGAATTTTTGGAACAGGTGCCATACAGGATAGTTTAACCATACAGGACTCTTGAGATAGAAGCATAATTATAAGTCTGGTTTTATTAGCATAAAGAAGAGAGTCAAGAAAGTAGATATTAAAATGAGATCTGAATATTTAAACCTGAAACTGAAATTTCCTTGTGTAATTGAAGAGATCAAATGGTGAGACTGACCTGCAAGTGACTTACTTATTCCATCTAGAATAGTGATGTTTTCTGATTTCTGATTAAATTGTTGCACTGACTGCAGATTTCAAGCTGGGACCAGTGCATTCAGGACAGCAGATGAGACAGTTCTGAAACACTCCCAATACACTTTCTGGGGATATTTTCTTGCCAAGGTGCTTCAAAAGAGTGAGAAAATGGAGACTACATTTCTGAGGAATTCAGGTAGAAATCTAAAAATATGTTCTAGAATGGCACCAGGCGTCACAATATTTTGTACACTCTAAATGTGAAGTCAGTGAGTGACCACAGTCTTTGTCTAGGTTTTTGGAAACACTCCAAGTTGCAAACTTCCTGTTTGTCTTTATAGAATCAGTGTTGACTTCACTCAGTCCAGGTGCAGGAAGGATGAGTACAGACATTGTCAGAAGACCTCTAATATTTGGACAGTCTTTTCTTGCTGGATACACCAAAGGGAATATCATTGATTTTATACTGATAAAATGCCATTAGGTGGCTGAGTCCAATACAGTACTGGCCTTGAAATGCAGATATCAGTGTGACTATGCCAAAGAGCTAATTTAGGTTAATTTACAGGGAAAAGGTAAGTTCTGTAAGTCTGAGAGACTTAGATCTCTATTTATAAGGTAACTTCTAGAAATCAGTGTATTTCTATATTTCATTGTCCTTGTTTCAGAGTGTGAATTCACTTTAAGTTTTGGGAAGGAAGGCGAGCATTGTCATATGTAAATAGTACTACCTGTTCAGTTTTCACCAGTTGATAAGTTAATTTAATCTTTTTTAAAGAAATGTGACAGTCATGTCTAATCCATCCTTTATAAATAAAGTTCATGCTGCATGGACATCTGTCTTTGTGATGTACAGGACCATGAAGTATGCTTTTGTAGGGGGGAAAAAAAAAAGAAAAGGATTGGCAGAAAGGAGTTAATATAATTAAGGAATGCCTTGAACTGATCAAGAGAAAGTATAGTACTGCTTAATGGCCTAAAGCATAACGCAGCCTCAAAGGCATGAGTTTTTACAAGAACTCAGAACTAAAGATGGCGTTTGATACCTCCTTTCCTGTAACCAAATACTTAAACAACTTTTACCAAGTGTCTGTTAATGTTTCCTGTGTTTTAGATCTGAGATTTGCTTTGCGAGTCTTTAGATGTCCATTTTCTTCAAGAAAATGAAAAAAGGCCTAAAGTATATACTAATAAATAAATAAAAAAACCCATGTCCTTTCTTAACATTCTCATTTGCCATGAGGCCTTCAAAACTTTGACAAAATGCAGCTGCTGGTGGGCTGAAGCTGTCATACTCCTGAGTGTTGTTTCACCTTTAACATTTGCTCCATGAATTAACTACCTAGTGTATCTTGTCTACTGGGTAGGGGTCTCAGGACCTGGCCTTACCAGATGTATGTTTATCATGTGACCGAGTGCAATGATTGTCCATCATGGAGTATATACATGAGCAATTGTGTATGGCAAAACTTACTTGCATGGCCCATTGTCTGATGGATCACATCCTGTTATACGACCAGATATGCACTCGCATGTGACCAAAATGCAGTTGCTTCTGATCATACAAGCATCTATGCACCCAACATAGTAGAAATATATGGCATTTTGTTCACAGGATGCCAAAAAAGTAATGATGGATAAGTCAGGAAAAGCCACTTTCCAGAGTTCCATCCTGGAGTTTCTTCTTCCCTGCCTTAGTTTACAAGCTAAACTCCCTTAGAGTGCAAGCTTTCAGGGAGAGGGACAACGTAAGGTTTGTGTCCAACTGGGCCTCTGAGGTGATACAGCAGCACAGATAAATAACAAATAAAAGCAAATCTGTTTCCGTGGGACTGGCATCCTGTGCTGCAACTCCTTTGTGCTGCAGTTGTTTACCACAGGGGAATGTGTAGGGCTGGGAACCCAGGTCCCAGCTCCACCCTTCTCTTGTCTTGCCTTTCATGGGAGGGAAATACTTTCGGTCCCAGTGACCTTTGCAAGAAAACTTGGCCCATTCCCATTATGTACACAAACCTTTTAAACATTTCCTCTCTGATTTTGCACTTTGCAAGGAGATAGAGCTCTCCATCGCATGGATTGACTTGATAATGTAGTAGCAAACAAAATAAAAGGCATTGCCTGCATGCATTTACAGACTTTTTACAGCCTCTACCTTCTTCTCTAGTGCCTTCCATGCTTGCTGGTTTAGTTATCCACTATTATCACCTGCAGATAGCATTGTTAGCATGTTCTGTATTGTGTGTTAGAGAGTGAAGTACTTTATGATTCAGCTTCTGCAAAAGACAGTATCCAAACATAGAGAAGGTTACTGGGAAGGTGACATTAGTTTCCTTCTTACCATCCTCTCTCCACTACCGAAGCGCTCTTCACAAGCATTTAAGCACTAATGTCTGGTATCTAAATCTGGGCATTACAGATGATTTGAACACAAGACAATGTAAGGAATTTCATCCTTCCTTAGCAAGTGCCTCCGGTTGTGGTGGTAGGGAATGTACAGATCTCGGCTCCCACTCTGCATCTAAAAGTAGCTGCTAAATATTGCTTGAGAGGGAGCTGCTTTTCAAAGGCTGTATCTGTGACACTCTGTGGTGAAATTTGTCACTCGCTCAAAAAGAAAGATGTACAAGTAATAGAGAAACAACCCAAGGAAGGGTCAAGGGAGAGCCTCACTTTGTGGAAAATGAAGAGCAAGGGAAGTGGGGGCTGTGAACAGGGGCAGCAGCACAGAGGAAGCTGGGGGGCAAGTAGGGCTCCTGGCTGCGTTAGGAAGTGTTTGCTGGGCACAAGGACCCTGGGCAGGGGCTGCATGCAGTGTAAAAGAATCAGGATTTTCATGGCACGGGGAATTCAGTTGGATGGCGTAAGCACCCGGCTCAGTGGGTCCCAGCCATCTGCCACGGGCTGCTGGGCTGGGCAGGCTGTGGGCTTGGCGGGGGCTCTCAGGACATCACTTCTTCCTGGGCTCTGTGCCCCAGCCACTGCCATGGCACCTGTAGAAGAAATGACAATGCTGGAGCTGTTTTTCAGAGCGGTAAGGCATTGCAATTATCTGAAAGACCAACCACGTGCTGCTTGGCAGCGATCAGAGTCCTGCACGCTGGCAGTCCCCCACACACCCACACCACGGCCTTTTGCCACACCATGCACAATCCGCCACTCTGCCTTGCCCTTCTCCCACCAGAGTCCTCCACTCACACGTCATCCCCCACCCCCCAGCAACCAGCCTTAATATTTCATCAACTGTCACTGAAATATCATGGCTATGTTGGTGAGAAATAAAATCTGTATTCTTTCCTTTTTCATACTTCCTTAAGGACACAGCTCTTCAATGAGAACTAGAACTAGTCCCAGACATCCCCTGCCTGTTGACTGTCTTCTACTCCTTATACCTTCTACAGTTTTCACATGAAGAAATAGTTGTTCTATTCATTTGCATATGCTTTTATAACCTTTCTAGTCCTGTTTTGACAGTTCGCCAAATAACCATTGATGATTGTGGAGGACACAGCTCCAGGAGTTTTGATGCAATAGTCCAATCACTGGCATGGCCCATTGCTGACATATTATTCAGTAAGGGAGTGATGGGGTGTCAGATATAACAGTGAGACTCCTGCTCAATGAGAAAAAGATGTTTGGAATCAACTGCTATGATTTTAAGAAAGCAGCTTCATAAAGCTGCTTCATATGTAAAAGTGTTTTTGATAAATATCAAGAAAATTGAAATTTTGTATTCAGATTTACATAGTATTATAAATAGAAGTAAATTTCTTCACACTTGTTACATGACTGATGTGTTGATTATGCACTTAAACTCTGAACATACTAAGGAGTATTAATTCTGGCAGTGTCTGCTGAAGTGCTATAGACAATGTTGAGTGGCACTGTTAACAGCAATTTTAAAATTTTCTTTATACTTAGAGACAATGGGATTGATAGGAAAGTGAGTTTTCACTTTTTACTACCAACAGGGACCAGTAACGGTTTGGAGAACAGTTATTGGCTCACAGAGTATTGCAGTAACCGCAGGATTAATTCTGCATCATACGATACCTATGTAGAATGTGCTTTTGCAAACACAGAGAATCTGTTTTTTGGTGATGGTGTGATTTCTTTCTATTTAAACTTAAAATATTATTGTAAATACTGTTAATTTATCAGCCATAAATCTCATAGATCTACCCCAGACAAGATGGCATCTGCATCGGAGCATGTCAGCAGTGTTGCCTCCCAGTATGAAATCCCCTACTTGGCTCATCGTTGGGCTGAACATACAGCATCTTGAATCTTACCTTTGTGGGAGATGCAAAACTAGAGAGTTACAACTCAGCAGCTGTGTAAGGTAGATTTTATTCTTGGTTTCTTAATATAGCCCTACTCCAGGTACCAAGGTGCTATAAACTGCTATGGATGTTTATGAGACAGAAGGTTTTTACAGAAAGAAAACAGAGAAGAGCTGTTCCATACACTTTGTCCACGGCCAACTGCAGTAATGTGAAAAGGCTGGAGAAATTTAAAACTATTTTAGGTGAGTGATGCTGTCCCAATACAGTAGAGTTGTGATTGTATTTAAAAATATCTTAAATTAATCTTTAAGTTAAACAATTATTCTATTAAAAATAACATGACATAATCTTATCAGTTCAGCACAATGAAGTTCACATGAAGGTTACCATGAGCTAATATTACTATATTTAAATATTCTGTGATGATTACAAGTGGGTTTTTCCTTCTCATGACACAGCACTTACAAACGCTGTTTATAAAAAGAAGTTGGCTCCTGTTTACCCTGTGTCATCATGCAGTGAAATCATTAGGCAATGTTTAAAACTGACAGCAGGATTTCTGTTTACACTGCATAATTATCCAGTGAAACTTGTTGCTACAGGATCTCACAGAGATTATGAGTTGAGCAGGAGTCTAAAAGCCGTTGTGAAGCTTATGTGAACTGTGAGTCTGAGAATATTTTCTGTGAATTTTGTGTCAGCCCAGTGTTCCACGTGTGTCTTTGGTTGAAAACACCAACTGGGGAAGTAGCAGCAAAATTGTGAAATCCTGGGAGTGGGGAAATGGTAAGGGAGTGTGGGAAAAGCAGCGGCTGGGGCCATGGGGGAGCACTGGGAAGGAGGCAAAGAGACATTGGCTTGGCTGTGAGGGTATGGCAGCAGAGGAGGCAGGAAGGGGAGCAGGTGGTGGGAACAGCAAACGTGGAAAAAGGTTGGGAACCACTCTCCTAATTTATGAAAATTATAGAGAAAGCTCTTTTCACATCTGGTTATTATTCCATTTCTGGATATCTTGATCAGAAGTGTTTGGTGATGGTCACGCTTGGACATAGCATACCAGATTATCAGGTGCATTGGTGTAGGAACAGCAGTTGGGTTCATGTGTGTTGCACAGAAGAAAGGCTCATACTTGTTAGTGTTTCTGGGTGAAAGCAGAAAGATCCTGAATTTGGGTGGTGCAGAATATGACAAAGGCTTCAGAAATACAGTGTGCTGGGAAAGATGCACAGCCACTTCTTGAAGAGTTTTATAAATAAACATTACATAACATATTACAATGATTTAAACAGTATTTCTGATAGATTGTTATACTTACCCATCACAGCTTGAAAGCAAATTTAACAGAAGAAATGGGTGTGATGGTGGAAAACTACTTCAACAAACAGTGGTTCCTATCTTTTAAGTTTAGTGAATACATCTTTCAGCAGAGGCAGGAATGCCATTGAAATTCATTAGGTGTGGCATTTCCCTGTTTAGCTGAAATGAGAAGAATTGTATTGAATTTCCTTCCCTGAAATTGTTCCAGAAAGAAAATGTGATCTGTCAGATAGCTAATAAATGGGTTTCTGTGCTCACAGTCTTAACATTTGGTGTACAACAGAAGTAACTTGAGCATCTTGGTAACTTAAGTGCTGTGCTGCTTTCTCTTGGAAGTGTTAGCATACAACTGGAGGGTGACTTGGCTATTGGACCACTTCAGATCATGAGTTTCTAATGTAAAACACGAAAGAGTCTAAGTAAGCATCAATTTTTCTGAAAATTAGGTCTCTTCCAGATGTCTTCCAAGTCAACATCCTGTGATTCTGTCACCCGTCAGGCTGGAACCAGTGGGGCAGAATGGCAGAGCTTCAGGGCCAGGAGCAGGTTCAAGCTGGCAGCACGAGGCTG